GCCACTCATCCCACCTGCTTATACTAGCAACCCTGCTCCCATGCCTCCCCAGCTGCCCCTCATGTGATCAGAGGGTCCCATGGTCTCTCCTGCAAGGGTGCCACCCCCCACCCCTGTTCAGGCTGGTTCAGGTATGTGTTGGGGGTCTCAGCTGGGCCTGGAGAGGGACACTGGTTCCTTCCCGCTGCCCCTGGAGCCTACACTGGGGACACTCCCAGGGCCACCGGTGGCCCAATCGATAAGTGCACAGATGATCTCTCTCCCTCTCACTCTGTTCTCCTTCGGCCTCTCTATTTTTGACTCTGAACAACCATGAGAACACACCTCATTTCCTGAGGTGGCCTCTGCCCAGGCGGGGGCTCTCCCGGCAGCTTCTGCCCCGGATGTGGGCCCCCCACGGGGAAGGAGTGGCCAGGTACAGAAAGGAGAAGGGAAAGAAGCAGGTGTGAGATGTGTGTGCTGTTCACAGACCGCCCCCTCTAAACCAGGCAGGTGGAGGGAGGGTCACCCCGCCCCCGACAGCTCTCTTCTCCAGTGCCCAACTGGGCCTCCCCCATCCCAGGGGCATTGGTCCCCACTTAGGAATCTGGAGTCGGCTGGGGTGCAGGGGGGCTTCTCTCTCAGACCCTTGGATGTGGACCGGAGGACTTGGCATTTCTAGAGCGTGAAATCACAGACGTGTGGCTTGAGACAGGAGGGCGAGTGTCTTGGGGGTTCCATTCCCACTCAGTGTCCATCCGTGAATCCAGGCTGGGATGCTCAGACCCAAGGTTCTCCTGACACATAGATGAGGGTCCAATGATACCCTCCCACCACCTGCACCCCCCAACCCTTTGGCCTGGTACCTGGGACCCCTGATGTCTTGCTGTGAACCGGGAAGACCTGAAATGGGGGTCTCACAGTGGCAGTGGCCAGGAGAGACATGGAGACTCAGCCCACACTGTCCCCAGATGCTTGCACGCCGCAGCCCATGCCCAAAGTCACCATCAGCTTCTGCTCACTGAGGAAGAGGTTCATTTCCTCTTCCTCAGGTAGAGAGGGAGGGTGGGGCATGGGAAGGTCAGTCTCAGAGGGAGGGATGTGGGCAGGACCTGGAAGGTGTTGCACCTGCATCTGACCCCTCGTTGGGAGGAGGGGAGGAGGGGAAGCGGGGAAGCAAGAGTTGCCGGCTGGGGAGGGCATGGAGGCTGATGTGGGAGGTAGGGGTGTCCAGAAACCTCCCTGGGGACAGAGATGGCCAGAGTCCCTGCCAAGACACCCCTGCCCACTGCCTCCCACCTCCAGATCTTCTACTCCCAGGAGCAGCCTGGCTGGCCCCTTCCCTTGCCCCTAAGTTTCCATTGTGGGAGGAAGAGGAGGCTGGCATTCTCACTCTCACCTCACCACCTCTCTGGAAAGTTCCAGAGGTTAATTAGGGCAAGCATGGAAGTGCTCCATGGGGGACTGACTTCTGGGAAAAGAGGAACCGGGGCTGGGCTGAGGGCCAAGGGTGGAGGTGGTTATGGAACCGAACCCCAGCCCAGCCTGAGAGTATTGGCCACCAGGCCACTCCCAGGGACCTGGAATGAATCCAGGAACCCTCAGTGGGGCTGGAGACCCTGCTCACCCCATAACGGCATGGGGAAGGGGGGAAGGCTCTGGGTTGCTGTGGGAGAAGGGGCCTGCTTTGTCAGCAGCTAAGACAATGGGCAAACAAGTCCTGAGTCCCATGCAGACCCATCATGGAAGGGCTACCCACTGACCTAGGCTCAAGCTGAGATTGGACTCGTCCCCGAAGAGAAGACCTCTGTTTCTGCACTGCTCTCCCCAGTCCCACCTTTCTTGGGGCCATGCTAACCCTGGCTCCCTGTGGAGTCTTCCCCAGGTCTTGTGCTAGGCACATCATGTGTCCACTTTAAGGTGGCCAGGCTGCAGCACCCCCGTGGGATGGCAGTGTTGAAGGTGATGACTTAAGCCGCTGCTACACAGGCTGTTTCTCCCTCCCTCCCCCCCCCCCCGCCATCTTGGGTCCTTTAGCTGTGCCAGGTGGGCCCTGTGGGCAGGGAACAGGGTTGGGAGAGCCATTCTGTCCTGGGAAGCCGGGACAAGGAGGTTCTGCTGTTGGCCGCTGGAGGGAGCTGTGTATGGTGGTTGGGGGGAGATCTGTTGGTCCCGAGAGTCCCCCAGCAAGAGTGGGATGGCGGCTGGAGCACACCGGAGTGTGGCTCTCCTAGGCATTACTGTGAGTGACAGAAGCCGGGAGGAAGCTATATGCTAGGCCCCTGTCACCTGCTCCCAAGCTCTGTAGTTAAGCTTCTGCCTGCAGCGCTGGCATCCTATGTGAGCACCAGTTTGGGTCCTGGTCGCTCTGCTTCTAAAGCAGCTCCCTGTCAGTGCTCCTAGAAAAGTGTCGGATGATCCAAGTGCTTAGGCCCCGGCACCCCTATGGGAGACCTGGATGGAGCTCCTGGCATCGGCCTGGCCTGGCTCTGACCGTGTGGGCATTTGGGGAGTGAACCAGAAGATGGGAGATCCAGTGGAGTGGTGAATGTGTATCCAGGAAATCGTAGGGCAGGGGAGGGGGAAGCACAAGGCTTCATCACATTCCTCAGCATAGCACATAGCTGAGGATTTCGGAATGATTGCCTTCTAGAACTTTCTAGAATCTTCTAGAATTTTTTACTCCATGGTTAACTTTGGGTACTGGAAATCAAGAAAGTGGGCCTGGGGATGAGAGGAGAAACCTCTCCACTCATGTAAAAAAAAAAAAAAAAAATCAAAGGCAAGCAAGATTGGTGCCTGCTAGTGAGAGATGAGATTTAAGCCCTGGTAGGGGTTGCCTGAGGGCCATGGGGGGGAGGGGGTCCAGGCATAGGTCTGAGGAGAAGTGCATGGAGCCATGTGAAGGGGAGACCCTGGGCAGGCAGGGGTGAGGAGGTGGCAGCAAGGGTGCCTGGTCCAGGAGGGTTGAGAAATTAACAGGATATGAGCAGGAATGGGGCTGACAAACAGGAACCTCCCCATCCCCACCAGGACTCCTGGTTCCTGCCAGCCCGGCCAGGACCCTGTCTGGGCCTCGGGGGAGGCTGTGGCGCCAGAAACCCCAACAGGTCTATGTTCCAGTTACAGCTGCAGTGGCACAGTCCCGAATCCCCTCTTACCTAGGGGCTGCAAGGCCAATTTGTTCCGCACCCACTCCCACCCCAACCCTGGGCAGTACAGGTGCCAGGAGCCACTGCTGGAGTCTAGTGGTGGGACGGGGGGATTCGTTCAGCTTAGCCTCATGGGGCCACGGGTATAAAAAAACGTCCTTGAGACAGGCGCTGAAATGCACTGGCTCATCGGACGGAAGATCTTCCTCTCTGTCTCTCCTCTTTGTATATCCGCCTTTCCAATTAAAAAAAAAAGATTTATTTTTATTGCAAAGTCAGATATATAGAGAGGAGGAGAAAGAGAGAGAAAGATCTTCCATCTGATGATTCACTCCCCAAGTGAGCACAACTGGCCGATGCTATGCCAATCCGAAGACAGGATCCAGGAACTTCTTCCGGGTCTCCCACATGGGTGCAGAGTCCCAAGACCCTGGGTTGTCCTCGATTGCCCTCCCAGGCCACAGGCAGGGAGCTGTATGGGAAGTGGAGCTCCCGGGATTAGAACCGACGCTCATATGGGATCCTGGCGTGTTCAAGGCGAGGACTTTAGCCGCTAGGCCATGCCGCCGGGCCCCCAAATATTTTTATAGGGGATAAAAATGTAGCAATGGGCCAGCACTGTGGGGTGCTGTGAGCATCTCAGATGGTCTCTAGTGGCTCCATGACACAGCTAGCTCCCCACTACTGCACCTGGGAAAGCATGGAAGATGGTTCAAAGGGGCTTGGGTTCCCTCACCCATGCAGGAGACCTGGAAGGAACTCCTGGCCCCTGGTTTTGGCCTGGACCAGCCCCAGCTGCTGTGATCATGTGGAGAGTGAGCCAGCAGATGAAAGATTTCTCTCTGTGTCTCTCTCACACTCCATTACCGTACATTTTGAAATAAATAATCTTTAAGAGCCTGGCGCACTGGCTCAACAGCTAAATCCTCACCTTGTGAGTACCAACATCCCATAGGGGTGTCCATTGGTGTCTTGGCTGCTCCATTCATGGCCTGGGAAAGCAATCAAGGATGACCCAAAGCCTTGGGACCCTGCACGTGTGTGGCAAACCTGGGTGAAGCTCCTGACTCCTGGCTTTGGGTCAGCTCAGCTCCATTGCGGTCACTTGGGGAGTGAATCATCGGATCTGTCTCTCCTCCTCTCTGTATATCTGACTTTGCAATAAAAATAGATCTTAAAAAAAAAAAAAAATTAAAGTGGAGCAGCAAGGACTTGAACCCACGGCCTTAAGGGATGCAGATGGATCTAGCTCAGTGTCCCTCAGTGGGTTCACTGTCTCCTTCCACAGAGGAAGCCGGGGGTCTACAGTCGGGCTTGGGGACAATGACTCCAACAGTAAGGCGGCGAGGTGAAGGGATGGGGCGGCTGTGCCAGCCACAGGACTCCAGTCTCCTCTTCCTGCAAGCTGGTGCACCCCTTTCACCTCCTCCTCAGCCACTTTCCAAATACGGATCTTTCTGCCTCTCTCGCCTCCTCTCTGCGCAGCCAGGCAGTCCTACCACAAACACTACTCAGCCGGTACGATCGCTCATTCATGCAACGCACTCCTACGCAGAGCTCCCGCGCAACAGGCTCGCGTGGCCCTGGCGATCCTGGCCTTCAGCTCCATTCGCACGCCTCGTCCCGCGCCCCAGCGCCCCAGTGCGCTCGGCCAGCCGGGCCAGCCGGGCCAGCCCGCCCCGGGGCTCTGGCCTCCGGGGGCGCCCGCCTGCGCCTCGGCCAAGGCCCCGGCCCGTCCCCCGCCCTGGGCAGCCAATGAGGGCTGCGGTCCCGCCCCGTCCCGGGAGCACCCCCCCGGCCGCTGATTGGCCTGCCTGGGTGCAGTGTTGCCCCCGACTCCCCTGCACGTGGGGCGGGAGTGTCCCCGCGTCTGCCCGCCGACCACTGCATGCTGCTGCCCAGCACCGTGTGGCGTGGGGTTCCCCGCGGCCTGTACACGCGATGGCCAAGCGCAGCTCGCTGTCCATCCGCATCGTGGAGGCGAAGAACCTACCCGCCAAGGACATGTAAGCACGCTCCGGGCAGCTGGAGTGGGGTGGGAACCCCAACTTTGCGGGGAAGGGCGCTGCGCCCCCCTCTCCCCTCCTCGTCCCCTGCCTACACTTGACCTTTCTGAGGTTCCCCACGGCCAACTGGCGCAGGAGGACCAAGACAGAAGAGGCTGCCGTGCTGGAAGGGCTGACAGGAGGAACAGACAGGAATATCTGTGAGGGTTGGGCAGAGGGGGCGCTGAGCGTGAAAGAGGGGCTCCAGATGAGAAGGAGCTTTGGTGGGACTGCGGAAACCCACGGGGAACTGTGGCTGCAGGGGGTGGAATACCCCCTAGTTAAAAGGGGTAGGGTCCTCTTCAACCGGTCTACGGGTGTGTGCACCTGACCAGGTTCTGGAGCCCAGGGGCAGTGTCGGGGGGTGTATCCTGCCGTGCACATGGGCAGAAGGAGGTCTGAGACCTGGGGTCTGCAGCAGGCTGATGGGTTAGGGTCAGGAGGTGCTGCCCCTACTGGCTGCAGGGGTGGGGTGAGCAGGGGCAGAAGGAGGTCACTGTTGCTTTCTGAGTCTTGCTTTTTGTCTACCTGGCTTTTTGTCCACCCAGTCAGGTGGTCCTCCTGGTTCCATTTCACAGATGGGTAAATCGAGTTTCAGAGAGGTTTTAAAGTGCTAGACTCTTGAGGGGTGCTGAAATCTAGGGCTTCCCCTGGCCAGATTTAGGGAGGGTGCAATCTCACAAGGACCCTTCCTCAGTGGCCGGCGAGACAGAGCCCGCCCAGCTTAGCTCGGTGGCAGCTGTGAGGGGGCGTCATCTTGAGGCCTGAGTTTCCTTTGGCTCACCTGGGGGTTGAAATCCCTCTATAGAGAGAGAGTGGGGCTGCTGACAGCCTGGCAGAGGGCCTGGGGTCCAAAGTCCTCGCTGGGCCACCTCAGCAGGCTCCGGGATCCAGGGTGGGGGGGGCCCTGTGAGTTTCCCAGCATGCCCAGCACCAGGAGCAGTTCCAGTTCAAGGCCCCCCTGGGCCTGATGAGACCTGAGCTCTTGGTTGCCATGGCAATGGTGAGAGAGGAGTGGGGGGGAATCTCAAGGTGGGTTTGTGTAAAGCAGGGCAAGGGGAGGAAGGGAGGTGGCAGCAGCTGGGAATGAGGTCTCTGGAAAGACAGATGTGCTGTAGGAGGGGTCTCAGTCCTGGGGCCCACCTCTGAGCTTGCCATCCCCCTCCCATGGACACTGACTAGTAAGTAGGTCATCTCTGCCTGCTCTGGCTGCGGCCCCTCCGTCTGTCTCTTCTCCGCGCTCCTGGCAGCAGCTGGCCCAGGATGGGCAGGGGAGGGGCTCCCAGTCACTCCTGCTTCCTGCATCTCTTTCCTCCTCTTGTCCCTGCCCCCACCATGCACAGCTGGCTTGTCCCACTCTGCCCCAGCCCCTGCAACACCTGGCCCTGCCCCCTGGCAGACCAGGCCTTCTCAAGGAAACATCCCTCAGGGGAAAACATCCCTCCTCCACCCCCTACCAAGTTAGGATGGGATTGTTATGGGTGGGTGGGGTGGAAGGTGAGTAACTAGGCTGATGGTGGGGGAAAAAGTCTGGGACTCGCTGAGGGACCTGGGCCATTTTCCCTTGCACTGTGTAAGGTTGACATGTTGGGCAACTGAGGCTTGTACAGCAGGTGCCCAGGAGTCAGGGTTCCAATCTGCTCTGACCACAGTGGACACAGGCCGCAAAGCCTTGCCTGACCACAGTGCTGGACAGATAGTCTGGTGGGGGGACCTGGGGGGTGCACTGCTCTGGCCCCGAGCGTAGCATGGACATCTGCTGGGGATGGGCATGGCAGGGACTTAGGGAACCCCAGGTGGCCTCACTGGATGCCGGGGGGGGGGGGGGGGTTGAGCTAGCCTCCAACCTGTCTCCTGAGCACAACACCCTCCAGCAGTGTCTTGCACTCTCCCAGGGACTGGGAGCTTGCTACCTATCCTCAGGGTGCCAAAGGGGTGCTCCTCTTGTCTAAGATCGTTCTGGAGAGAATGTCAGGGGCACACAGTGGCCGCGTCCACTTGTCCACTCCTGCCTGGCTTTTCTGTTCCCTGAACAGAACTGCCCTCCCAGCCTAGGAAGAAGCTTCTAGAACCTACCCACACCTGCCTGCCAGCTGGCCTCTTCCCCAGCAGCCCCCAGCGCAGGGGTACCTGAGTCGGCTTGGTCCCACGCCCTGTGACCCAGGAGACACGGTCTAGGGCTATTTAAGGGTTTGTCCTCATCCTTCGTCTTCCACAGCTTGGGGATTGCCAAGGCCCTAAATATAGAGGCCCTTTGGTGGCCAGTCCTGGGCCCGCAGCGACTTGTCTTGGCGAAGGAGAAGCAGAAGAGGGGCCCAGCCACAAGCCGCTGTGGGTCAGAGGGTGCCTAACAGGGCACCACGGGCAGCACGAGTGGACCCAGCTTCCCTCCAGTCGGCCTCAGCCCGTTCTTGATGCTTCCCATCTCTCTGTTCCTCCCACTTGGGTGCCCTTGCATTGCACATCTGAGCTTTTGTGCTTTAAATATATATATATATATTTTATTTCTTTATTGAGAGCGAAGGCAGGTGCTCCTCCATCTGCTGGTTCACTCTCCTAAATGCCCATAGTATCCAGGCTGTGAGAACTCCATCCAGGTCTCCCCCACGGGTAGCACAAGGGCTCAGATACGGGAGCCATCACCTGCTGCCTCCTGGGATGTGCCTTGGCCAGAGGTGGGACTCGAACCCAAGCACTCCACTTGATGTGGGATGTGGGTATTCCATGCAGTTACCTACTGGCTGTGCCAAATCCCTGCTGTATGCCCCCTGCCCTGCTGCCATGAACTTGTTGAAGACTCCTGGAACAAGCACGCATGCGTGGCTCACGGGTCCCGCAGCTGTGCCGTGCACACGGGCTGCAGAGGGGTCCTGAGGTCCCCTGGCTTTGGGGTGATGAGTTGCAGGCTCTCTGGAATAATGATCCCACACACACACACTCCATGTCATCTCAGACACCCAAGGCAGCCAACCTGGGAGCCAGCATGACAGTTCCCACTCTGCGGGTGGAAAAAAACAAGTCAGGACAGACATTGCTTGCTGGGTCTTAGGAGGGCCTTGGAACCTGCTGGCCCCATGACTTCCTGTGCAAGGAAGAAGGGCCTCTTTCGAGAAGGGAAGTGGAGTTTGGAATTTCCCAGCCTCCAACATGTAAATATACTTCCTTTCTTTGTGTGTGGATGGCGGGCCAGAAAAGGGCAGCTCTAGAAACATCCATTATGTACCTGTCCTTCTCCCAGGTCACTAGCCCAGCAACCGGAGATGTGTGGCATCGCTTAGCCTTCCTTCCATTAATGCATTCAGTAAGCACTCACGAGATTGTCTCGTGCCAGGCCCTGCTGGACAGTTAGGTGCCCCCCACCCTCAGGTTACTCAGATGGAAGAAACAGTGGGGAGGACACAGGCTGGAGGAACCTCCTCTTTTTGAGATTTATTTATGGGCTCAGCGCGATGGCTGAATGACTAAATCCTTACCTTGCAGGCGCTGGGATCCTATATGGGTGCTGGTTGTGTCCTAGCTGCTCCAGTTTCACTATCTATGGTCTGGGAAAGCAGAGGGACCCTGTACCCACATGGGAGACAGAAGAGCTCCTGGCCCCTGGCTTTGGATCGGCTCAGCTTTGGCTGTGAGGCCATTTGGGGAGTGAACCAGTGGATGGAAGGTCTTTCCCTCTGTCTCTCCTTCTCTCCATAAATCTGATCTACCTTTCCAATAAAAATAAATTTTTTTAAAAGACATTTATTGGAAAGGCAGAGTTGTAGAGTAACGTGCACAGAGATATCTTCCATCTACTGGTTCACTCCCTAAATGGCTGTAACGGCTGGGGCTGGGCCAGGCTGAAGCCAGGAGCCAAGAACTCCATCCGGGTCTCCTACATGAGTGGCAGGGGGCCCCAGCACTCAGGCCATCTTCTATTACTTTCCCAAACTCATTAGCAGGGATCTGGAATGGAAGTGGAGCAGCCGGGACTTGACCTGGCACCCATATGGGATGGTGACATCGCAGATGGCAGCTTTGCAAGTGGCAGCCCCAGGAGAGGGTTGTTAGAAAGGAGGGGACTGAGGGAAGCATGGGCAGCAGGGAAGCAGAAAGGGGCTGGGCTGTGATAGGGTGGGGTGGGAGAGGGCAGGAACAGTGTAGTGGTGGTATGGGGTCCATGCCCTTCTTGCTCCGTTCCTTCCTAGGCTGATGCTGGGGCACGTTTGGGGCCTTGGGGAGCCATTGATCTGCAGCCCAGGATGCTCAAGGCCCTTCCTGCTTTTCCCTGGGATCTGTAGGAACCCCCCCAACCGCCAGTCAGGGGCTGGGAGCTGCGCTGGAGGCCCTGCCCCCTGCTGACCCCACCCTTTCCCTGTGTTCTGCAGCACCGGAAGCAGTGACCCCTATTGCATCGTGAAGGTGGACAGCGAACCCCTCATCAGGTACCCCTGCTCTGGGGATGCTGGAGGCAGCCTTCTCGCCCCCTGAGGGGGTATGGATGGAGATGGGCAAGGGTTTGGAGCCCTCATGCTGGGTGCCCTGCTCCACCGCACCAGGAGGCGAGGGAGACTAACCTGGCACTCTACCACCCATGTGGGGAGTAGCTTCCTCAGGCCTGGGCTCTGGGCCAAGGGCCTCTCCCCTGCCTCTGTGCCCTCTCCAGCATTTACATCTGCCTGACAGAGGCAGATGTTCGTTAGTCACGGCAGCTGGCATCACAGCCCTTTTCCGGCCCATTTAACTCCAGGGAACAAGCTGGCTGTTGTAGCCACTAACTCCATTGGCCAAGGGGACGGCCCAAAGACACAGGACCCCCCAGTTTGGGCTCCTCCGCCTGACCTGGTCTTGGCTGGGGCCTCCCTCTTTCCCTTGCCCTCCCTCATCCAAGCTCAAAGCCAAAGCCACAGTGCTGCTGTGCCCAGCTGAGTGCCCAGGACCTGCCCCTTACCAAGGCCACTGACCTCCCAAGTCATGCCCCACCTGCATACAGGGTCCACACCCTTTATAGGTTGTCACTGGCTCAAGAGGCCATGCTGGTTCTAACTGACCCAAGGCAGGCAGGGACACCAAGGTCATGAGACTGACCCTTCACCTGAGTGCTCGGGGTGGGCCTCAGCTTCCCCACCCTCACAGTTCTGGCCTGCTGGGGTTTGCCCAGAGCTGGATGAGGCTGGGGAAACCAAGCTTGTGGTCCCTTCTCCACCTCTACCCTATTGTGTGACCTGTGACCCAAAGCCAGCTGTGCCCAGTAGTGGTCTTGTTTCCCTCTAGTGTGTGATACCTGTGTCCCACCCAGCAAAGATGGGTAAGGGAGTCATGATGGGTGGTGGGTGGGTTGAGACAAGAGCAGGGCATCTGATGGCAGAGCCAGATGTTGGTACTCAGAGGTGGGAGGAGGGAGGTGGCTGGGGCAGTGGGAAGGTAGGCTGCAGTCACACAGCCCCGCCTAGCCCTGGCCCGGCCTGGGACCTGGGGTGGCCCCAGGCAGCTACTGAGAAGGCTGCTCCTATAGGACAGCCACCGTGTGGAAGACCCTGTGCCCTTTTTGGGGTGAGGAATATCAGGTACACCTGCCACCTAGTTTCCATGCTGTTGCCTTCTACGTCATGGATGAGGACGCCCTCAGGTGGGTGCACCCTGCTCTTTGGGGGTAGGGAGTGGGTGCACTCAGGCCCCTGTGTGTCACTGTGGGGGCCGAGGAGAGGGCGTGGGTGTGCACGTGGCACATCACGCATGTGCATGAGTGTGCATGGAGCAGATAGGTGGGTCCCCATGTGGAAACGGCCCATGCCCATGAGTGTGCAGGATGCAGGGTCCACAGCAGGGTGGGTGCCAGGTGCAGGTGCGAGGGACTGGGGTATCAACTTTCCTGTTCCCCCCCGGGGAGCCCCGAGCTTGGAGAGAACTGGCACCGAGCCCCTGCCTGACTCTGGCTGTCTCTACCTTGCAGCCAAGATGACGTCATCGGCAAGGTGTGTCTCACCCGGGACACCCTAGCCTCCCATCCTAAGGGTAAGAGCTCCAAGTGTGAGAGTGTGTGTATATGTGAGAGAGAGTGCGAGTATATCCTCCCGCCCCGTGTGCTCCCACATCAAGACTGCTTCTCCCTCCTGGGAGGGCTCTCCTTATGTCCCACTGTGCAGTGCAGTGGGGGAGCCTCTCCTTTGTACCCTGTGAAGTCCCTTCCACCCAGGGTCCCAGTGCCAAGTCCCAGGTCTATAGCATTGTTCTGGTGCAACCTGGGGAGCTCCTCTACCCTAACCCCCACTTAACAAGTCCCAGAATATAAACTGCTGGGAGGTATGCACCTGCTCCAGGCTTGCTGGGTAACACAGTGCAGGCCCCACCCTCACTGGACTTCTTTAAAAGAAGTTCAGACCAAGGAGTTCTTGAATGCTCCAGTCCCATTGCCCATGCCTTGCTGTGTCCGCTTATCAGCTTCCCCTGGTGTGCACCTGCTCCTGTCTGTGAGGCCAGGGCGGTGTGAGGGACAGGCACTGCTGACTCATGAAGCCACCTGGCCCTGACTCATGGGGTTCTGGTTCTGGTTGCTTCTTGCGGGGCTTGGGTGAGGGTACCCACCAGGCTGAGCTGCAGCCCTACAGGTTTCAGCGGGTGGGCGCACCTGACCGAGGTTGACCCTGATGAAGAGGTGCAGGGCGAGATCCACCTGCGGTTGGAGGTGGTGCCAGGGCCTGGGACCCAGCAGCTGCTGCGCTGCGCCGTGCTGGAGGCCAGGTGAGGCTGGGGAATGGGCAGGGGGTCCCGTGCCGGCCAGATCGCCTTCCCTGTCCTCCCCTCCATTTCCCAGGTCCCTCCCATGGCCACTCTCTCACTTGGAGAGTCTCCTAGGTGATCCCCTTGGGTGGTCGTGTCCCCTTGGGGGAGGGGAGGGATGCTGTTTCAAGGATAGGCCATGCCCTGCCCCCTTCTTCCTCCCTTTCCCACCCCGTGCTAACTCCCATGGGAATTCATCCTGGGGCATGCGGAGGTGGATGGAGTTGTTGGGGATCTCCCAACAGGCAGGTGGTGACAGGAACAGTGGCTTGGAAGGCTCCCCCGCCTGTCACCTGTGTCAGGGCCACCCCCAGAGTATTTTTAGCCCCACGATCCACTCATCCACTCCCATTTGAGTCTGGGTGTGAGTCACACCACTGTGCGTGTGGGGAACTCATTTTCCTTTCTGACTCGGAGCCCAAGCCCTGAGCAAGGAGGGCCCCTTCCACCGGCCCCTAGAGAGCCAGCATATCACAGACCCCCTCCACTACCACCCACAGCTCCACCATACCACTCACCTGCCTGGGAGGAAGCTGTGGCAGGGGCAGAGGCCTGGTATGGGGCTGCCCCCTGCAGTCTTCACACTGTGCTCCCTGGGGCAGTTACGCCCTGTGCTCCTTGGCCATGCATGGCACCAAGCTGTCTGGGCACAGGCTGGTGGTGCTGGGGGAGGAGGGGCAGAAATGGTAGACATCAAAGTGAGCCATCCCCACCAGCCATGGATTCCCTGGCCTCCCCTGAGGCTGCTGGGGACAGGGAGACCAGGCCCAACCTGCCACTTAACAAGTCCCAGTAGAGGGGGAGCAGCGTCCAGGCCTCTCCAAGGAGGGATGGGACTCATTGCCCCTTGGATGTCAGTGACAGAGCGTCAAGAATCCCCTTGGTCATAGCCAGAGAGAGTCCATTTTCAGACAGACCCAGCCTTGGGGGTTCTGTCTGACAGCCTTGCAAAACTGGATGACTCTGATTTATTTTCATTTTACTTGAAGGCCCAGAGATAGATATGGATGGCCTGCGTGCTGGTTCATTCCTTAGAACCCGCAGCGGTCCAGGGGTTGGACCAAGCCAAAGCCAGGAGCTAGGAGCTCCATCCAGGTCTCTCCCACCTGTGTGGCAGGGAGCCCAGGGCTCAAGCCATCGCCTGATGCCCTCCAGGCCCATTAGCAGGGAGTTCGGTCAGAAGTAGATTTGGGACTGGTACCGGGGCTGGTTCAACAGGATGTCCAGTAAGTGGCACTTTAGCCATGTGGCAGACACCTGCCCTACCTCCATCAGGGGAAGATGGGAGAAAGATAACCAGCGTTAGAGAGTTAGTGTCGGAAATGTGGGACTGGGTGCCAGCAGCCAGCATTCACAGCAGCCAGAGGAAGGATGGCTTCGTTGTATCCCAGGGCTCTGAACTGGGTGGGCGGGGGGGGGCGTCGGGGGGGGGGACGCTGTGATCAGGGCTTCAGAAAGAGAGGGTCTTCCATACCTCCGTGGGGCAGGGGTTGACTTCCGCATTTCCCTGGTAAAGAATCCCATTCGAGAGAGATTGCCCTGTTCAGCTATTTGGTCTGTACATGTCGTAGCCTTGTCCTTAGGGTGGCCCATGTGGGGACCCTGGGTGGGAAGGGGTGACTGCTCTGGGAACAATCACCTGCTCCCCTCCCCAATAACCTTGATCCCTGTCACCACCAGGGACCTAGCTCCCAGGGACAGGAACGGTGCGTCTGACCCCTTTGTCCAAGTGCGCTACAACGGCCGGACCCAGGAGACCTCGGTGAGAATCTGACGGGAGGGAATGAGCTCCTCAGGGATGCCCCTGACCCCAGCTTCATCAGCACCTAGGAGGTCAGATTGGCGCTGTCTGTGTGAGGGGACACAGCAGGCCCCAACGCCTCTGGTCATGCTGGAGGTATAGAGTGGGGAGCCCACGGCCACCCACTCCACTCTTTTACCCTACAGGGAACAGTTAGGCTAGGGGGACCTCCGATGGTCCAGCTGGGCTGGTGTGGGAACACTAAACTCAGGGTTCTCAGTGTAGTCATTGCCTTTTTTGGGGTACCCTTGGACAAGTTCCTTCCCATCCCTGGGTCTTTCTGATGCAGGGGTGGAGGGATGGGGAGCTGGCCCGAGCCCTATCTATTCATCTCCTGGTAGATTGTGAAGAAGTCATGCTACCCACGCTGGAATGAGGCCTTTGAGTTCGAGCTGGAGGAAGGGGCAGCAGAGGGGCTGTGTGTGGAGGCCTGGGACTGGGACCTGGTCAGCCGCAATGACTTCCTGGGCAAAGTAAGTATGGTTTCCCCAGGGTGCACCTGCTGATTTCCCTGCTTCCCCATCAAGACTGTACCTGTTCTCTCCCCTGGCCCCTCCCCAAGACTGCACCTGCCATCATCACTACCCCAACTTCCCCCACCTCTGCTGCACCTGCTACTCACCTGACCTGCATCTCAGGTCACCCTCTCCATCAGCTTCCCCAGAAAGGACCACTCAGGAAGCCTGGGACTCCCCAAGACCAGAGACCCTTGGCAGGTGCCCCTCACCCCTAAAAACAGACATGGCAAAGAAGGTCTGTGCATGCAGCCCCCTGCCTGCCCACCCTGCCCCTAGGTGGTGGTCGACATGCAGAGATTGCGAGCCTCGGGTCAGGAGGAGGGCTGGTTCCGCCTGCAGCCCGACCAGCCCAAGAGGCGACGGCGGCCGCACGAGTGAGTATTGACTGGCGGGCAGCAGGGGCTGGGAGAACTGGGGGTTGAGTTGACTTTGGGTAGGCAGGACTGCAGGCTGAGTAGGAGGCAAGGGGCAGAGGACACAGCCACGGGGGCCCTTCTCATCCAGGCTGAACTAGCTTCCTCCTTCTCACAGTCCTGCCTTTAGCTCTGGCCTTAGAGCTCAGAAACTTTCTGCCTTCTGGAAGCTTCACAAAGAGACTCTTTCCCCATTCCCTTTAAGGACTTCCCCACAGACTGCAGAGCAGGGTTCAAGTTCCCGGAGACATTAGTGGAACAGCCCTAGATTCCTCCCTCCAGGGGACAGAGACTCCAGGTAAAACAGGACGGTCACTGGAAGCTGAACTTAAGCTAGTGTACAGATAAGCATTCAGAACTTCCCATGCACGCTTGCTAAAAATACCCCACGTTGACTGCATGCCCTGTGCTGGGATTTCAGCATGCCGGCAGACCTGTCTGGGGGAGTCCTTTGGCCCCTAGGATGCCTCAGCTTGCCTCCCTGCAAAGATCCCCAGATGCCCCATCTTGAGCAGGTGCAGGCCAGGTGGACAGGTGTGTCCCAGGGCCCATTTGACTAGCTTCTGCTATGCTGGGCAGGATGCTGAGCTGCTCCATTTTGAGAAGGTTCAGGTTCAGTCAGAGCGAGGAAGCCAGCTGAGCAGTCCCCGCCCCAACATCCTTGGCAAGCGGTTTATCAGACTAGGGCTGCAAGATCTCTGCTTATTTTTCAATACAGTGTCCACAGGAAGGTGCTGAACCTGGCCTGCCCGTGTGGGTCAGGTGTGGGGTCTACAGGCGCTTGGGAGGCAGGGCAGTTGGGGGTTGGGCACACAGACATTCCAGGCTGAGCGGTCTGCCTGGGCCACTGGTGGAGAAGTCACAGATCTCCCATTGCAGGGGTACCCTAGGCTCCCTGCAGCTGGAGGTGCGGTTGCGGGATGAGACCGTGCTGCCCTCTGGCTGTTACCAGCCCCTGGTGCAGCTGCTGTGCCAGGAGGTGAAGCTGGGCGCCCAGGTGAGGGGATCCCCCCCGCCCAGGGAAGTGGGGTGAGTGGGCAGGAGGCGTCCAGTGACAATAGCAGGTCCTCTCTGTCCTTCTAACCTCTCCTCTGCCTTCTGCAGGGCCCAGGGCACCTGCTGCCCATCCTAGAGGAGACTACCAGTGCTGAGTATCGCCAGGATGTGGCCACCAACCTTCTGAGGCTCTTCCTGGGGCAGGGCCTGGCCAAAGACTTCCTGGACCTGCTCTTCCAGCTGGAGCTGGGCCGCACCAGTGAGGCCTGGGCTGGGGCTGGGGGATGGTGGGGGTGAGGCTGGCCCCAGGGCCAGAGGTCGGGGGGGGGGGGCAGGGAGAAGGGATTCTTCTGTGAGTGACCCATGGGGCAACCAGGGAGGTAACATGAGGAGTCAGGGGCAGAGGTGGACAGGAACTCGGCAGGTGGCGCTTGCCCAGCGGTCACTTCCGAGGCCCTACCTCCTGCTCCCTACATGGTCCTCCTGCCTCGTCCCCCCTGCCCACTGGGACACCTGCTTGTAGGTGAGGCCAACACCCTATTCCGGAGCAACTCCCTGGCCTCCAAGTCCATGGAGTCTTTTCTGAAGGTGAGGTCACAAGAGAAATCGACCCTCAGTCTACAGAGAGGCCAAGAGACAAAGCTGGATCCTGCCCACAGCCCCCGCGGCCCTTGAAGGCCAGGAATGCCATCCATCCATCCGTCCATTCACTCACTCATGCATTCATTACTAGAAGAGCAGCTTGTTGGGCTGCCCCTCTTGCAGCTGACATGGACGCACCCTGGGGTGGGGGAAGGGGCGTGGGCAGAGTGGAACAGGACGAACGCGGCTGGTGGTGGCCCCCAGGTGGCGGGGATGCGGTATCTGCACGGCGTGCTGGGCCCCGTCATTGACAGAGTGTTCGAGGAGAAGAAATACGTGGAGCTAGACCCCAGCAAGGTGGAAGTGAAGGACGTGGGGTGAGGCTGGGGTACCCCAGGTGGCGCGGAGGTGGTGGTAGTGGTGGGTGTGTCTTTCATCCACTTTCTAACTATCTGCTCCTCCCCTCCCCGCCCCTGGTCCTGCTGCAGGTGCTCCGGGCTGCATCGCCCGCCCACCGAGGCCGAGGTGTTGGAGCAGAGCGCACAGACTCTGCGCGCCCACCTAGGGACGCTGCTGGCTGCGCTCTGCCGCTCGGTTCGCACCTGCCCCGCCGTGATCCGTGCCACCTTCCGCCAACTCTTCCGGCGCGTCCGAGAGCGCTTCCCGGACGCACAGCACGAGGTGTGCGCTCTGCCCGCTGCCAGGCCGGGGCGGATGGGGGCACCGGGAGGGCCGCGGCGTGGGGCCCAGGGGAGGACCCCAGTGCCCGCTGTACCCTCCAGAACGTGCCGTTCGTCGCCGTCACCAGCTTCCTGTGTCTGCGTTTCTTCTCTCCGGCCATCATGTCGCCCAAGCTGTTCCACCTGCGGGAGCGCCACGCGGACGCCCGCACCAGCCGCACCTTGCTCCTGCTGGCCAAGGTGCGGGGTGGCCCACCTTGGGCCGGTACTGTGTTCTCCAGTTCTGAGCTCCTGATCCACGAGGAGGCTGGAGGACCCAGACCACACAGCTTGCGGGCGCGGGACTCCTGCGTGGCCAGGGTCTGAGCAGCCCAGTCTGACATTGACACCTGCAGAGAAGGGGTATCATTTAGACCCCAGTGGTCAAGGAGGCTGTGGTCCCTTTACCCCTGCTTCCCTACGAGACTGGGCTGGGGCCACAAGCACCACCATGGCTGCAGCTGTGGAGGGAGGAGCGGGGTCCGGTGATCTGGGCCCTTCCCCGCACAGCCTTTAGTCCTTTCTGCGGTCACTGTCTCTCCCCTCCCACCCGCCCACTTCCAGGCTGTTCAGAATGTGGGCAATATGGACACGTTGGCTTCCAGAGCCAAAGAGACGTGGATGGAGCCTCTGCAGCCCACAGTGCGCCATGGCGTGGCACAGCTGAAGGACTTCATCACCAAGCTGGTGGACATCGAGGAGAAGGAGGGTGAGCATGGTCTGGCTCTGCCCCAGCATCGGCTTCCCCTTTGCCCTGCGCCCTGAAGGGCCCCGCCCCTCACCCAGTCTCCAGGTCCCTTTGCCCCGCCCCTAAGCATGTGGCCCCGCCCCTCACAAGTCTCCAGGTCCGTTTGCCCCGCCCCGCGAGCCTGTGGCCCCGCCCACCGAGGCCCCGCCCCCGGGCGCGCTCACTCCGCCTCCCCGCAGAGCTGGACCAGCTGCAGTCGCTGAGCTTGCAGGCGCCGCCGGTCAAGGAGGGGCCGCTCTTCCTCCACAGGACCAAGGGCAAGGGCCCGCTGGCCTCCTCCTCCTTCAAGAAGCTCTACTTCTCTCTCACCACTGAGGCCCTGAGCTTCGCCAAGACGCCCAGCTCCAAGGTGGGTGGGCCGTTCTCCGCACGCGCAGACCCCTGTTCCCTTCCGCGGAGTGGCCCGACCTTGCCGGCGTCCTGCGGGTCAGCTACAAGCAAGAGCAGGGTCTGCGGGGCTCAGTTCTGGCTTCTGCGTGGAGGAAGGGGGCTGAGGGGTGCCTCTGGGAATCCTGGAGGTCCTGGGCTCTGGCCCCGGCCTGCCGTGGGTGCCCCCCCCCCACCGTCCTAGCTGCTTGGCTTCCCAACAGAGGGTCCCAGCTGGTCTCCAGCACAGTCCCTGTGCACACTGACCCCAGGACTGTGGGGATCCTGGCTGTGTGGACCCGTGACGACAGCCTGTTCTGGGACCCCGTCGTGGTGGCCATTTAGGGAGTGAGCCAGCAGATGGAAGCTCTCTTTCTTTCTATGTCCCTGTTTTTCTATAACTTTTCAAAATAAAACAATCATAAAAAAGAAATGAGTGGAGCTGGACTCAGACCTAGCCCTCCACTGTGGAATGTAGGAGTCCTAAGCAGTGACATCAGTTCCTGCCGGACACCTGCCCCACACAGGCTGTTTGCGTAGACACCTCTCTCTCCCACCTGAGTAGGTCGTGTTGGGGGGTGGAGTTGGGAGAGGGGAGCAGCTTGGGTTGGACTTTAAATGCCTGAAGAATAAGGTATTGTGGAAGATGACCCAAAGGTGCACGGTGTGGCCCATAGTTGGCAGGACCAGGAGCCACAGAGAGTTGGCTGTGTGTCCTGGCTCTGTCCCTAAAGCTCAGGGTGGCCTGCTGCCAGCCACCAGGAAGCCAGGCAAGCTAGTCACACCCTGGGGTGCTCTGTCCTGGCTGGCTGTGGGCACTCCCACAGCAGGCAGACTCCCCTGCCTACCCAGCCATGTGCGGGCATCTAGAGCAGTCCTCTCTCCCACTGCCCGCCACAGAAGAGCATCCTCATCAAGCTGGCCAACATCCGAGCTGCCGAGAAGGTGGAGGAGAAGAGCTTTGGCAGCTCGCACGTCATGCAGGTGATCCATACGGACGACGCGGGCCGGCCACAGACCGTCTACCTACAGTGCAAGGTGCGCAGCCTGCAGCGGCTCAGCCCCGGGGACACCAGGCACAGTGGAGGAGGCGGGGTCAGGATGGCTGCACTCCCTGATGGGAAGCTCCCTGGGTGTTACCACGTGTCGCCGTGTTCACAGACAGCAGGGGCTGGAGTACCCAGGGACGGGCTGAGGGGTCGGCTGGCTGCAGCGCTTTTGTGTCAGTGTAGGAACTGCAAGGGCAGGGGGCTTCGTGGAGGAGGTGGCATGTGAGCAGTTTGCGGCCCCCTCCCCCATGTGCCCTGCAGTGTGTGAATGAGCTGAACCAGTGGCTGTCGGCACTGCGGAAAGTGAGTGTCAACAACCCCGGCCTGTTGAGCTCCTACCACCCTGGCATCTTCCGTGGGGACAAGTGGAGCTGCTGCCACCAGAAGCGCAAGTCAGGTACAAGTCAGGGCCCCAGGCACCCCCCGGCTATGACATGGTGCACCTGCCACAGCCTGGATGCTCATTGAGATCCTGTGTGTGTGTCCTGCCATGGAATGAGGACCCCGTCCCCAAGGGTGGCTCACTGAGTTCAACACCTGCTCCTCCGGCTGGGTTGATCAGGGCCAAGGAGAGCCCCTGGGCTTGTGCACTTCTGTACTCACCACCTGCTGCTGGAGCTGTAGGAAGGGTGACAGAGAAGATTCTAGAAGGACTATTGGTGATGACAGGGCGTGGTGCATGTCCCCATGGCCCATGTACCCCAGCCCCCTAGCATGTGTGGCTGCTGAGCTCTGACGTGCAGTTGGGTATAGTGGAAGAGTTGGGCTTCAAATCTGTAGTGTGTTGTTTGATTTTACCTGATTGCAATAGCCTCACTTGGCTAATGACATGTCAGACAGTATAGTTCCAGAATTTTTTTTTTGTAACATTTATTTAGGGGTTGGCATAGTGGGTAAAGCCACCAGCATCCCGTGTGAGCACTGGTTCAAGACCAGGGTGCTCCACTTCTCATCCAGCTCTCTGCTTATGACCTGAGAAAGCAGTAGAGGGTTGCTCAAAGCCTTGGGACCCTGCACCCAAGGGAGGAAGAGATCTGGAGGAAGCTTCTGGCTTTTGGCTTTGGACTGGCCCAGCCCTAGCTATTGCAGCCATCTGGGGAGTGAGCGAGGGGATGGAACATGGATGCATACCTGTATTAAAAATAAAAGGTTTATTTTTTGAAAGGCAGAGTGACAGAGAAAGGGAAAAATCAAATTTCTGTCTGCTGATTCATTCTCCAAATGTCCACCATGGCCAGGTCTGGACCATTCCACAGCCAGGAGCCTATACCTGCAACCAGGCCTCCCACTAAGGTGCAGGGGCCTGAGCATGAGCTGTCCTCCGCTGCTTTCCTAGGAACATTAGCAGGGAGCTAGATAAGAAGTGGAGAACCGGGCCCGGCGCGGTGGCGCAAGTGGTTAAAGGTCCTCGCCTTGCACGCCCGGGATCCCATATGGGCGCCGGTTCTAATCCCGGCAGCCCCGCTTCCCTTCCAGCTCCCTGCCTGTGGCCTGGGAAAGCAGTTGAGGACGGGAACCTGCACCCGCGTGGGAGACCCGGAAGAGGCTCCTGGCTTCGGATCGGCATAGTATCGGCCCGTTGCGCTCACTTGGGGAGTGAATCATCGGACGGAAGATCTTCCTCTCTGTCTCTCCTCTCTGTATATCCGCCTTTCCAATGAAAAAATAATAAAAATAAATCTTTAAAAAAAAAAAAAAAAAAAAAAAAAAAAGAAGTGGAGAACCTGGGACTTGAACTGGTGCCTGTGTGACATGTCGGCATCACAAGCCATGGCTTAACCCTTTGTGCCACAATGTCAGTTCTAGTTCTAGAACTTTCACAACCCTCCCTCAAATGTGCTTTACAGAACAGACTCAGACTGGGCGCCCTGTCCCTCTAGGCCAAGCTGATCCTCAGCCATCGGAGCCCAGCATGGGAGAGGCCATCAGCCTGCCCTGCCCGTCCCGATACACTGCTAGGCAGTGGGTGGGGCTTGCGGGCCCGCGAGCAGCCCCATGGAGGGTCCCTGAGTCCATCTGTACTAATGAAAAAGTCACATGAGCTTGTCCCATAGCGTCCATCCATAACTCTGCCCTCTGGCCCCTCTCCCCAGATGTGGGCTGTGACAAGACTCGGCCACGGGTGACCCTACAGGAGTGGAACGACCCTCTGGACCATGACCTGGAAGCACAGCTTATCTACCGGCAGCTCCTGGGCGTGGAGCCGACCCTACGGTGAGCAGGAGGATGGCATGTGCCAGGTCAGGGACTGCAACCAAGATTCCAGCTGGAACTGCCTCTCAGTGGCTGGCACCTCTCTCTCCGCCAGGTCCAGCACCCTCTTTTATTGGAAAGGCAGTTTTACAGAGAAGGAGAGCTAGAGAGAAAGATCTTGTGTCTGCTGGTTCACCCCAAAATGGCGGCAACAGCCAGAAGCTGAGCTGATCTGAAGCCAGGAGCTTCTTCCAGATCTCCCACGTGGGTGCAGGGACCAAGGTGGAGGGCCATCGTCCACTGCTCTCCTAGACCATCAGCAGGGAGCTAGAGTGGAAGTGGAGCAGCTGGGACATGTACTTATGGAATGCCAGTGCTGGCAGGTGGAGGGTTAGCCAGTTGAGTCATTGTGCCAACTTCCTCACCGACCAGCAGCCTCTTGTCCTTTCCAGGGAGGGCACCTGCACCACCATCCTGCAGCATGAGGCTGGCTCCCGTGAGGATCTGGCCTTCCGGGTAGGCTTACCGTGCTCCCATGCGTACCCTCAGAGCCTAAGCCTGGTCCTTAGCTGGCACGCCAAAGTCCTCAGCCATGTTGATTACTTTTGTGGCTGCAGATTAGAAAAAAATGGGAGGCATTAAAAAAAAAAAACAACTTTATTTGCAAAGATTGATTCGGTGACTGATTTGCAAGGTAGAGTGATACAGATAGGTAGAAAAAGATGTTTCCATTTGCTGGTTCCTTCTCAGAGTGTCCACAGCAGCCAGAGCTGGACCAGGTCAGAATCATGAGCCCAGAACTCCACGTAGGCCTCACATGCGTGGCAAGGACTCAGGCACCGGGCATTGTGGGCCATCTCCCAGGCACGTTAGCCGGAAGCTTGATTGCAAGCCAAGTTGGGACTTCATCCCGGGCACTGCAGCGTGGGATGCAGGAATCCCAAGTGGCTGGTTAAGGGCTGCCCCTAGTACAACTTTAAGAAACAAATGCCAGCGTGCATGTTGTGTGTAAAACTTCCACCTGTGAGGTTGGCATCTCATTTGTGCACCAGTTGGAGTGTCACTGGGCTCCAACTGGGCCACTGTGGCCGTCTGGGGTGTAAATCCGCAGATGGGAGCGCTCTCTCTGTCCTTCTGTCTCTCTGCCTTTTGGCAAATTAAGTAAACATTTTTTTTAAAGATTTATTTTTTATTAGAAAGATTTACAGAGAGAAGAGACAGATCTTCCATCTGCTGTGATTCACTCCTCAAATAGCTGCAAGGATAGGAGCTGAGCCTGTCATGCCAGGAGCTTTTTTCGGGTCTCCCACATGGGTGCAGGGTTCCAAGGCTTTGGGCCGTCCTCGACTGCTTTCCCAGGTATGTTAGCAGGGAGTGGGATCAGAAGTGGAGCAGCTGGGACTCGAACCAGTGACCATATGGGATGTAGGCAGAGTAGATGGTGGCTTTCCATGTGACCTCGCTGCGCAGGCCCCTGCTGCCTGCCTCTTGGCCACCCTGAGCTCCACCAGGGGGCGGTGTGGGACTGTATGCATGCTTCCCAGGGCTGCAGGTCAGTGCTGGGCAAGTGAAAGCAGGTCTGAGGCTTGGCTGGGTCTCACAGTGGGTATGGCAGGGAAGGGTGGCAGCATGGAGAGAAGGTGACCAGTGGCTGCTCCAGTTGCTAGAAGGCCTGTCCCCCAGGGCCTGGAAGGCACCCACTGCTGCAGGAGGAGCTGCCTGGGGCTTCCCAGAGGGGCACACCCCTTGCAGGGTGGAGCAGGCAGGCAGCCGAGGGGTGAGTCAGGGGGAGCCGTAAGGAAGGAACCACCCAGCCTAGGATGAGTATCACCACACTTCCTACCTGAGCAAACCCTTTTAAGAATTGCACTTAAAAAAAAAGTTGAGTGCCTGGTGCGATAACCTAGCGGCTAAAGTCCTCACCTTGCACATGCTGGGATCCCACATGGATGCCGGTTCTTTTCCTGGTGGCCCCACTTCCCATCCAGCTCCCTGCTTGTGGCCTGGGAAAGCAGTGGAGGGTGGCCCAAAGCCTTGGAACCCTCACGTGGGAGACCTGGAAGAAGCTCCTTGCTCCTGGCTTCGGATGGGTTCAGCTCTGGCTGTTGCTGCTGCTTAGGGAGTGAATCAAAGGATGGAAGATTTTCCTTTCTGTATATCTGACTTTGCAATAATAATAATAAAAAAAAAATAAAGCCTTAAAAAAATGTTGGGGCTGGTACAGTGGTGTAGCAAGCTAATACCCCGCCTTGTAGTACGGGCATCCCATATGGGCACCTGTTTGTGTCCTGGATGCTCTGCTTCCCCACCCCGCCAGCTCCCTTCTAGTGTCCATGGAAGATGGCCCAAATCTTGGGACCCTGCAGAGGCTCAAGACCCTCAAGAGGCTCCTGGCTTCAGACCAGCTCAGCTCCGGCTGTTGCTGCCATGTGGGGAGCAAGCCAGTGAATGAAAGATGTTTCTGTCTCTCCTCTCTGTAAATCTGCCTTTCCAATAAAAATAAATATGTCTTATAAAAAAAAAAAGGTCATAGTGGACCTTCTGGTCAACCCACGCTTAGGCGGTGGCTCAAAGTGGGAGGTCAGTCCTGTGTCCACGTTGTGGGAGTCGGCCTGGTGGCTCAGGCGGCCCACGCGGCCCACGCTAGCCCTCCCACAGCCCTCACCATGTCCTGCTCCACAGGGAGAAGTACCGGGAGCTGAGCCGGGGCCCAGAGGCAGGTGAAGGTAGGCGTCTGGGTTTGGGGACACTCTCAGCCCCAGTACTCCCCTCCTTGCCCCTTGGGGGTGTCCGTCCTCATGGTCCGTCAACTGCTTCCAGTCCCCGAGGCCCCCCTGGCTCAGCTGCTTCAGGTGCTGCAGGACCTGCAGGAGGCACATGGCCGCAGCCTGACCAGCCCTCCACCTGGGGTGCCCAGGCACCTGCCAGGGCTGCCGACGTGAGACCAGCTCCACCCCTCGCCGGGTGCCTGGATGCCAATGCTGTCGCTGTCACCCTAGTCCCAGTCACCATGGTGCAGGGCCGGGGCCTCTCCTGGGCCTGGTGAGTTTGAGGGAGAACCAGGGGCCAGGCATTCCGGAAGGCAGGAGCGACCTCTGACGTGGCGTCTGTAGGGGACTGTATCCTTCTGGCTCTCCTGTGAGGTCCCGTGGCCCAGACTCTGCCAGAATGACAAGCCCAGCTAGAAACCTCCACCCCTGGATGGTCCACCCTAGGTGGGCTGCCCTGTTGGACCCCGGAGACCAGCCCCACTACCACTGCCTGGCCACCCCCTGGGCGGGGGGTTGTGGTGCTCTGACAATAAACCTGTCGTGACTTCCCAGGCTCGTGGCTCTTGGGGCTGGGGCTCCAGGAAGAGTGGGCCCTGGAGGAAACTGGGGGAGTTGTCAGCCAAGGAGTGGGGTCACCTCCACCCTTGCCCAGGCTGAGGCCCGCATGGAGCTGGGTCCACACGGAGAAGTTACTGACTACCCACCAACCCTCCCCTCAGGCCCTCCAGCCCCTGGCTTGCCCATGGAGTCACCCTGACTGGCCCCACATCCCCAAGGCCTCCCTGGTCCCCAGAGATGTGTGTAATGTCCCCATCACCCAATGTTCCCAAACTGCTCCCATCAATGGCCAAGCTGGGATGCAGCCCAGCCCTCTGCTTGGGGTCCAGAGACTCACAGAGTCCTGGGAGCTGGGCTGCTCGGCTGCCCTTGGTCAGTCCCTCAGGGCCTCATGGAGGAGGCAGCCCACCGAGCCCTGCCTCTTGTCCAGCTGGAGCTCCCACAGCCTCCTGGGGTAGGACTCTGTCACTGGATCACACAGCAGGAGATAAAGGCAAGGCCCCCCGGTGCCCGGGCTATGCCCTCTGCTGCTGCAGACAGCCCAGGTCTGGGGTGTGTGTGTGTTGGGGGGACTTTGTGCCTCAGTGGGACAGAGCAGGTCCAGGGGCTCCAGCTGACCTCGTCTCTCCCCCGTCCCCCTGCAGCACTCACTGGCCTCAGGCCCCCTCCTAACCCATTCACTCACTCTTCACCTGTGAGTCCATCCACCTCTCTCTCTCTCTTTAATGATTTATTTATTTGAAAATCAGAGTTATGGAGAGACAGAAAACCTCCATCTGCTGGGTCACTGCCCACATGACTGCAATCAGCAGGAGCCAGGAACCGGGGATCACATGCTCCTCTGCCCTCCCCGGCGCGTTAGCAGGGAGCTGCGTGGGAAGTGGAGCAGCCAGGACAGGAGCTGGTGGTGCCCACATGGCTCGCCGCTTCCCAGAGGTCTGAACACATGGCACCACAACACGGGTCTCTGGAGAGTCTGCGGGTGCACAACTTTGAGAGCCCAGGATCGTGGGCGGTTCTGGGGTTATATGGCAAGTGTGGGCAGGTCCAGGGAGGCGGCGGTGGTGGAGACTTCGATCACGTGGCGCCGGTGCCAACCTGGCCAGGGACTTGCAGCTGTCGGGCCGGATGCCCGGAAAGGGCCGTCCACACGCGTCGCTGTGTCTTGAGCCTCACGTCCCTGCAAACAACCGGGTTGCAGGAACCCAGCAAGCCACGCCCCGCGAGCCGACCAGCAGGAGCGGGGGCGTGGCTTCCACGGGGCGCATGCGCAGAGTCCGCGCTAGCCGCTTGCGCAAGCTCCTCCGCGTCGCCAGGGGGCAGTGAACCGGTCCTGAAGCGTCCGGGCCTGGAAGCGGCGTGACCCGGAAGCGGTTGCGTTGTTGCGTCTGGAGGCGGCGGCGGTGGCGGAAGTGGCCGTGTAGGGGGCTGCGGCGGCAGGATGAACGCCCCTCCAGCCTTCGAGTCCTTCTTGCTCTTTGAGGGGGAGAAGAAGTAAGCGGGGGCCGCCCGGGGGCGGCGGGAGGCAGTGTGCGCGCGGCGTGCGTGGAGGGGCGTGCGGGTGTCGGGGGCAGGAAGGTTCGGCCGAGCCGAGGGGCTAGGGCGGGCCCGTGGCCGGCAGTCGGGAGTTGGGGGGAGCTGGTGTCCCGGTGCCGGCGGGGAGGGAGGTTTGAGAAGCTTCGGGAAGGGTGTCGGAGGAGGTCAGGGGGTAGATGCCACTTTTTTGGGGGATGTCGAGCACTTGCGAGCGGAGGTGTGGCGTAGTTAGAGGGATCTGCCTCCTGCTGTGGGGTTCACTCCCCAAGTGGCCCCAACGGGCCGGGGCCGCGCCAGGAGCGTCAGGTCTCCCTCGTGGGGCCGCCTGCTGATGCTGTCCCTGCGCGGGCTGCAAGAGGGCTGGATGGAAAGTGGCCGGGATGTCAGCGCTGCTGGCCACAGCTCGGCTCACTGTGTGGCAGAGCCAGTCGTGAGACCTGCAGCTGCGAGTGTCTTATTTTTTGTTGCAAACAGTTACAGAGAGACAGATGAATTCCATCTGCTGGTTCATTCCCCAAGTGGCTGCAGCTGGGCTGGTTTGAAATCAGGAATTAGGAGTTTATTTCATGCAGGTGCAGGGTCCCAAGGCTTTGGGCCGTCCTCGACTGCTTTCCCAGGCCACAAGCAGGGAGCTGGATGGGAAGCAGGACCCAGAACGTGAACCAGTGCCCACATGGCATTGCAGAATGCAAACAGGGCGAGAATTTAGGCACTAGGCCTCCATGGCGTTCTGGGCCCTCCATTTCGGCTTTTTGACAAATGAAAGCAGACAAAATTTCAAACTGTTAAAATATGTCAAGAACCTTTTTTCCTGCAAGGAAAGGATTTTCAGGGCTAAAGCTGTGTTGAGAAATCCTGCCTTAGGAGCAGGGGTCAACCTAGGGCAGCGATGGGATGGAGGGAGGCTGCCTCGATGCACAGAGGGTCTGCAGGAGGGCTGGGGGCTGCACCTGCCCCTCAGCATCACCCGCTTACCCCTAGGATCACCATCAACAAGGACACCAAGGTCCCCAACGCCTGCCTTTTCACCATCAATAAGGAGGACCACACGCTGGGGAACATCATCAAGTCGTAAGTGCTGGGCTGCCTGCCCAGTGGGCAGGGCGTCGCGGCAAGGGTGACCCTACAGGGGGTGGCTCCTTCCGTCCAGCTGTCCATGGTCACGGCTGTCAGCCGACAAGTGGCCCGCTGACCAGCAGGGTCCCTCATGGGGACCTGTCCGGCTGCTGTGGAGGCCTCACCAGCAGGGCCTGGGTATTACCGAGCTCCTGCCGGGGGGATCACAACGCTGACCCTTCATTGAGGTAGCACGGAATGCAGCCTGGGCCAGGATGGCCCGCCCCCTCATCCAACAGTGCTGTGTGGCCTGGGGACGCTGGAGATTTTATCTTTATTGGAAAGGTGTATTTACAGAGGAAAGATGTCTGCTTGCTCCCTAAATGGTCACAGTGGCGGGAGCTGAGCTGATGAAGAGCCAGGAGCTTCTTCTGGGTCTCCTGTTGTGGATGCAGGGTCCCAAGGCTTTGGGCCTTCCTCTGTTACTTTCCTTAGGCCACAAGGAGGGAGCTGGGTGGGACGTGGGGAAGCAAGGATGTGAACCAGCGCCCACGTGAGATGCCTGCTACATGTCACACTGGCCCTGGCACTGCAGTTGTATGTGAGGATCTCTTGTTCACAGAATGCGGGAGGAGGCAGAGGCTTTGGATGAGGTGTGCAAAATCCCTGGGCAGAGTGTTGCTGTCCCTGCTAAGCCTTGGACCAGCAGGCAGGCCAGGCTGTGCTTGCTGCTCTGGCCAGCCCAGGGACTTGAGCCCTGTACACAGGCTTGTCAGCTGGAGCCTGTAGCCAGCCCTCAGAGTGAAGCCAAAGGCCATGGCGCAGCCCCTGCCCATCCCAAGCCGAGTCAGTGGCCAGTCTAGGCCCAGTGCTGCCCCTGTGGCCCCGGGCCTGTGCGGGGCAGGGCCTCCCTGGAGCTGCTCACCTTGACTGGGAGTGTGGGGCAGGGAGTGTGTGCACCTGTGACTAAATGTGGCATGCAAGCCCAGCAGTGCAGGAGCTGGCTATGCTGTGGGCTGCCCAGGGACTACCAGGGTGCCCCAAGGCCACCCCGTCAGCCCATCCTCCTGCATCTCAGGCAGCTGCTGAAGGACCCACAGGTGCTGTTCGCCGGCTACAAGGTCCCCCACCCACTGGAGCACAAGATCATCATCCGTGTGCAGACCACGCCCGACTACAGCCCGCAGGAGGCCTTCACCAACGCTGTCACCGACCTCATCAGCGAGCTCTCCCTGCTGGAGGAGCGCTTCCGGGTGAGGGCATGGCCCAGCCAGGCCAGGGAAGTGTACCCCAGGGTTGGGTGATGGCGCCAGCCCACCCTGTGCTGTTGCCTCCAGGCTTCCGTCTGGGCCTGGGTGGGTCACGTCTGCATGGCAGGGGCCTTGGTCAGCTCGAGGTACAGCCAAGTCCACGGGTGTGTCGCAGGCCCACAACACTCCAGCCCCCATGTGGGCAGCAGCCATGTCGGCCCCACTCTATCCTGCAGGGCGTCATTGGCCAGTCCCCTGGCTGACTGTGCCTGTTTTCTCCCCACAGGTGGCCATCAAAGACAAACAGGAAGGCATTGAATAGCAGCCAGAAGGGGCTTCAGGGCGTCCTGTCCTCCTCCGGCCCATGGGGCGAGCCGTGGCACCCGTGCTCCTGTCCGGTGAGCCCCTTGCCTGGCTTTCACGTGCCTAGTACGCAGGTTCTGTTTCTCCTTCCTAATAAAGTGTGGCAGGAAGACGCGGTGTGGGCTCAGTGGTGATGCCCTGGGCAATGAGCTAGTTCAGCCACTCCGGCTGTGGCCAAGACCATTGCTGGGGCTGCTGGGAAGCCTAGTGGCTCAGGGTACACTGAGGAATGGGGTACACAGAGCTACAGGCCTCCCTCAGGCCTCTCCACAGGGAAGAATTTAATAACAAAAATAGGCATAAAAAGACCCCCCCCCCCAGTTGGCCCAAATGCTCAATAAGTTAGGTTGTATGGCTGTGGCTGGTGCGCTGTGGAGACTAGCACCTCCTCCAGATGGCCACGATGTTGGAGTCCGTCAGAGCTGTGAGGTAGCTGAAGGTGGGGTCGGCCACCACCGCGTTCACCATGGTCTTGCTCACTGCCTGCCCCTGCGCCCAGGGCTGGGGCCACTTGAGGATCTGGCCGGGAGAGACGGGGCTGAGTGCACTGCGGTGTCCCCTCCTCCCAGCCGGGGCCGTGCAGAGGCGGCTGCACCGTACCTGGCTCGGGGCTTGCGGGGCTGCTGGCTGTGCAGGCGGCTGCTTCAGGAGGTGCCCGATGTCATAGAGCCACACACTGCCCTCCTCGTCCCCACAGAACACCAGCCCCTTCTCTGCAGTGACACAGGGCACATCAGCGAGGCCAGAGCAGGGCACCCAGCCATGGGGGGGGGGGGCAGGCTCACCTGGGCAGGTGCTGAGTGAGAAGTAGGCCAGGCTGGTTGATGACCACTGCAGCCAGGCCAGGACCACCACGGGCACTGCCGAGCGGCTGCCCCTGGTGCTCCACGTCTGGCTCCAACTCCATAGGCAGATGGTGCCCAGGCTGTTCCCCTTGGAGACTGAGAGGAAGGACAGGCGTGCCCAGGCTGGCTGGCCCCACAAGCCAAGCCCCCACCTCCCAGGGAGGCACGCACCCAGCCCACTCACCCACGACATCTTCATTCACGAAGGCCAGCCCATCTACTCTCCGGCTTGAGGCCTCTGCGCCCTTGGAGAACACGAACTCCACCTCGCAGGCGCTGGGGAAGGGGCCGCAGAGGGAGACGTTGGTGCCCAGTCCTCTCAACCCAGGCCTGGGGGAGAGCTGAGCATGTGTCAGGTTACAGCTGCGTGGGGCTGGCTGGTGGACAGGGAGCAAGCAGAGGCCACGTTGCCCCTGTGGGCCTGCTGCCTGCCAGCAACTGGGGTCCTGCCCACCAGTCCTGGACACAGGCTGTGCCCTTTTGTACCTGGCAGACTTGCTGACCCCAGGCAGGGAGGCAACGGTCGGGCACAAAACTCTGCACCACAAGTCCCCCTGCTCAAAGGGGACAGCCCCCCACCTCACCCGACCCGCGTTATCCTTCCCCTAGAGACTCTGCCTGCCAGGCGGGGTTTCCAGGATTTCAGGGGACAGAGGCACCCAAGGCTCTGCGAACCCCCCAATTCTCAGATGTTGGTCATGGCCTGTGCTATGCAGATGGGGACATTATGCCAGGACATGGGGTCACGCTGCTGCTCTACAGGGGGACCTGAGCTAGCACTATGGCCTAATAGGTTAAACTTCCATCTAAGGTGTCAGTAACCCATGACCACTGGCTGCCCCACTTCCCATTCAGCTCCCTGCTTCTGGCCTGGGAAAGCAGTCGAAGACGGCCCAAGGACCTGAGACCCTGCACCCGCGTGGGAGACCATGGAGGAAGCTCCTGGTTTTGGATCAGCTCTGCCTCAGCCATTGCAGCCACTGGGGAGTAAGCCAGTGGATGAAGTTATTTCTGCCTTTCCTCCTCTCTTTATATGACTTTCCAATAAAAAAAAAAATCTTTAAAAAATAAGTGAGGTGGTTGTATGGCCTGATGGGCCCACCTTTGCCTGGCTCTCTCCCCCTCCCCCTGCAATCCTCACCGCCGCTTCTGGGGCTGGTCTAACCGCACGTCCCAGCAGCAACAGCCTCCTTCACAGCCGGCCAGCAGGTGGTTATCCGGGCACGAAGCGACAGGGCACAGGCGCAGGGGAATGGAGGTGGCGTCCAGTGTGAGCAGCTGCCTGTGGCCAGGGCAGGGGACAGTGTTAAGCTGTGCGTCTGCAGGGGAGGGGGTGCTCCTTTCCCCAACCCTGCTGCCCCCAGCGTCACCTCGCCTGGAAGTCTTGGTTATCGTCAAGAGCCCCGATGTCCCAGAGGATAATCCGTTTGTCATAGGAAGCGGCTGAGGGAGGAGACAAAAGGATAGGTGGCCCTCCGCTGTCTGGCAGTCAGCCCCAAGGCCTGCTGCAGCCCCACACTGGTACCACTGCCAGTACCACAAGCTACCTTGTGGGGTAACCACCCTGGAGGGTCGGGGGTGTCTGCCCAGATCACTGACAGAACTGGGTGACCCCAGAACAGGCCGAAGCCCTGCCCAGCCTGCAGGGGAGATGGGCGGGGCACCAGGGTGGCCATAGGGGGCATGGGGCCGCCAGGGCAGAGCGGGCCTTACTGAAGAGGTGGCTCTCGTGAGTTGGGCTGAAGCAGAGTGTAGCGATGGCCTTCTTGTGGGCCCGGATGACCCCGCAGCAAAAGCCGGCACGCACGTGTAGCAGCCGCACCAGGCCCCGCAGGCCCGCGGCCGCCAGCACACTCCAGCGCTTCTTATGGCCTGCCTGTGTGACCACTGTCAAGGTTGTCCAGGCCACTGAGAAGAACTCCTGGGGAGCAGGGCACAACAGGGGAGGGTCACAGGGGCTCGGCCACGGGGAGGACCACACACATTCTAAGGCTGGAAGCAGAGGGGCCTGCTGTGACCCAGCCCGCACCCTCCATTCCAGGGCACCCGTCTGCTCTGCAGGGCTGGGCCTGGCGCTCACCTCGCCTGGCACCTTGTACTTGTGCAGCACGATGCCCGTCTGGCAGTCCATCACGCACACGGCCTCCCCGCCGCAGGTGGCCACGGTCTGGGACATGGCCCCTGAGGGCCCTGTGGCGAGGGGCTCAAGCTGAGCGGAAACCTCTGGCAGCTCCCGCCTCCGATGCCCTCCTGGCCTGAGGCCACGTTCTCAATTCTGTCCCCTCACTGGGCAGTATACCCTCCTAGTCAAAAGAACCGTGTTCTGGGACAGGTGTCCGGGTCTGACAGTTAAAGAAACCCATAGTTGGGGCACCTGGGTTCAAGTCCCAGCTCTGATCCTGAGGCCAGCTTCCTGCTAAGGCACACCCTGGGGTGGCAGCCCATGTGACTGGGCCCTACATTTCCTGCAGGAGAGCTGCAGGGTCCCTGGCCTGGCCTCAGCAGGGGTTGCTGGCAGCATCGGGACAGTCAGCAATAATAAAAAGCATACATCCCAGCACCACTCGCGCCCTGGACGCACCGTCCTCTGGGGCCGGCTCGAAGGCGCAGGCCCACAGCTGGGTCTGCAGGTCTCCAGGACTGTTGTTCTTGCTGTGGCACTGCAGGAAGTGCAGCGGCTCCAGCTTCAGGGCAGGCTGCAGGGGCAGAGGGCATCAGGGACTGTCCCCCTCCAGGGCCTTCCTCCTCCCTCCTCCCCCACTGTCTCGCTCTCCATCCTCCATCCCCACCAGGCCCTGGCTCCTGTGCCCCACCCTGCTCCCGACTCTGATCCCTTGTCCAGCATACCTCGCTGTCCGAACCTGCGGGGCTTCCCTCCCTCTGGGCAGACTGGGAGGCGCGTACCCGCTTGGGGGTAGGCGGGCCTGCTGGGACGTCATCTGGCCGCTTCAAGGCCGTCAGCTTGGCCTACGGAGGGGGCCTGGTGACCCAGGAGTGCCTGCCTGTGGCAGGGTGGCCTGTGCTCTCCCATGGGTGCAGGAGCCGAAGGATGGCTCAAGGTTGCAGGGGGACAGAGCTGACCCCCTTTCCGTATCTCTCCACGGCAGGAAGGGCCGGGGTTCTGGAGACCTCCCGTGTGCTGGACACATGTACCTTGGCCTTGCCAGCAGCTGCAGCTTGTGGGGGCTTTTCTGGGACGCTGTCCCCCTGTGCCCCCCAGGCGGCCACCAGCTCCTCGGAGATGATCCGCACCTGGTGTTGGAGGGGGAGGTCACCAAGAAGCTCCCAAAGCCACACACCAACCAACAGGGCCGTCTTCCCTGTCCCACCCCAGTGCCCACAGCCCTGTGTGGGGCAGCCGCACGCCATGCGAGCCAGCAAGGAGACTGGGCCAGGGGCCAGCTCGGAGAAGGGAGGACGTACCCGCCACTGGGTGAAGGCGCTGAGGGACTGGGGCCCGTAGCGGACATCCCTGACCGCAGACTTCACAAAGTCAGCCTGTACCTTCTTGGTCTCCTTGCCTGGGCCCAGGGTCTCCTTGAACTTCTCCCAGTGAGCTGTGACCTGGGGCGGGAGGGACCAAATGAAGGCAGAACCGGGCTGGGCCCTCCCAGGTGTGGCCACTTTATCCACTGCCTACTGGCAGCTGCCCCCTGCCCGCAGCCCTGTTAGCTGCAGCGTGCACACGGCCGCCTGCCACCCACCAGGGTCCCCAGCCTCACCCTGTTGGTCAGCTCGCGGTTCAGGCTCTGCACCTGAGTGCAAGTCGAGGAGGTGTCCTTGCCATTGAGCTTGCGAAGTGTGGGCAGGAGAAAGCACACTTTGAAGTTGTCACTGACCTGGGTGGGCGGCGGACAGAAGGGCGTTCTCAGGAGGCTGCAGCCTGCTCAGCCGGGGGTGGGGGGATAGGGAGAGGTGGGAGGGGGCGTCCCCCCCGGGGGCTTTTCCCCTCTACACACCGTCAGGAAAGGGTTGCCCTCCACGTAGAGCTCCTCCAGAAGCGGGAACTGGCAGAAGGCCGTGATGTCGGTCAGCTGGTTGTTGGCGCAGCGCAGCACGCGCAGGTGCACCAGGCCCAGCTCGGGCGGCAGCGTCTCCAGCTGGTTGTCGGTCAGATCGAGCTCCTGCAGCTGCTGCAGGCGGCTCAGCAGCCTGGGGTCTAGGTGCTCGGTGAGCAGCTGCAGCCCGGACAGGCTGCGGAAGGCGGGGGGCAGGCGGCGTTGGCTCGGGCGCGCACAGCTTCCCCACCCAGTACGTTAAGCTCGCAGCCGACATGGCGCTCCCCAGGGCTGTCCCCCTGCTCCAGGACGGGTCTCCCCGCCATGTCCCGAGGGGCTCTAGCGAGCCCCAACAGGTGGCTCCAATCAAAACAGTAACCCTCGCAGCCCGCTTTCTCCGGGGCTGCGGCCGCGCGCATCCCTGCCGCGGGAACCGTTTGGCGGGAACGGCCGCCCAGCGCCTCCGCCCGGGAGCAGGGGAGCTAACCGGCGCCTCCGGCTCGCAGACCCCGACCCAGGGCAAGCAGGGGACCCGGCCCGCCTCCGGCGGCCACAGCCTCGGCCCGACCAGCCTCCACCCGCCCTCGGTCCCCTTCTCACTCCAGGCTCCGGATCCTCCCCAGTCGGTCGCTCTTGGGTCTTCCACGCTGCAAGAGAAGGCGCGTCGAGAGGGGCGCCATGACGCTCCCGGGGTAGCCAGAAAGCCAGAGCCCGGGAGGCGTTGCCGACCGAGTTCCCTAAGGCGGCGCAGGCAGCCGCGACCGGAAGGAAGCGCGGCCGAGAGCCTCGTGTCCCCAGCGCGCGGACTACAACTCCCGGCGGCCCCCGGGGCTCCGCGCCTGCGTCCTGGCCAGCGCGATGGCGACCGCGGCGGCGGCGGCGGCCGAAGCCCCCGAGCCGCTCCGGGAATGCGGCTGCAAGGGCATCCGGACCTGTCTGATCTGCGAACGGCAGCGCGGTGGGTTCCCGCCCTGGCAGCTCTTCCCGCAGGTAGGGGCTGGGAGAGGAGCCGCGCCCCTCAAACCCGCCCTGCGTAATGGGGAGGCTGAGGCCGCCACCATTTAGCCGGGATGGAAGCCCGACTGGGGACAGGTGCGCGCGCCCGGGGGAAGGCGCCGTGATGTCCCGGGTGAGGGGCAAGAGCCTGACCGCTGGACGGAGAGCGCGCCTGGAGGTCAAATGTGGATCTTTATGAAGGAAGGGAGGCTGGGAAGCCGGTGGACAATACTGCACCCCATGAGCAGGGCACAAGTGGCGCGACTGCCACCGTGAGCCCCCAGCCCCCAGCCTGGGCTCTAGACACCCCCGGAGCATGGAGGACGCTGTGTCGAGGTCAGGAAGAGGGAAGTCAGCCCAGGTGTGCGAGCAAGGAGGCGTGGCCAGGCGCGGTGTCCTGGGCTCCGTGCGGGGCATGGGTGGTCAGCTTTAGGGAGGACCAGCATTGTGACTCTCGGGTGCAACATGAGAACCTTGGGTCCTTGGGTCGTGGCACAGGAGCTGGGGCCCAGAAGACGCAGCGAGCGGTTCAAGGCCTCGGCGGGGGTCGGAGTGAGTCGGGGTCCAGGGCCAGGCATAGCTTCTTCCCTTCCCAGTCGGGGAGAACCTGTGCGGCCTGTGGGGAGGGGCGGTGCAGGTGACAGAGCAGAGGGGGCTCCTGGGCAGGATGGGGGGGCTCCAGCGAGCATCCATCTGACAGAGTAGGGTTCCCCCAGACATCCTTGGAGGGGCGTGAGGCTGGTGGGGTTTGGGGTGAGGGGGCAGCCTGGGGCTCCCTGGAAGCAAACGCTGGAGGCGATGGGCGCGGACCACTAACCGGAAGAGCCATCTCGGCGCAGGCAGAGGATGCTGCTCTCCCCTTCTGCCTTCCTGAGGCTGTGCTGCCATGGCAACAGGGAGCACATGGCCGGCTGGCTGGCTGCCCGCCTCTGGCCTTCAGGAGGCACTTGGCTCGGGATGGAGAGGCAGGACTGTCCGGGCTTCCAGACCCGGAGGAGGGGAGACGGCCTGTGACCCCCACTCCCACCTCCTACCTGCAGAGAACACAGCAGTTCCTGTACTGCCCAGACACCGGCTGGGCCGTGGGGGCCACCGACTCGGACTTCGAGGGCTGGGCCTTCCCCTTCCCCGGGGTGACGCTCATTGAAGACTTCGTGACCCGGGATGAGGAGGCCGAGATGGTTCGGCTGATGGACCGGGACCCCTGGAAGCTCTCCCAGTCGGGACGCAGGAAACAGGTGCGCTCTGGGGCGGGGGGTGGTGTGTGTGTTGGGGGGTGCTGAGAACCTCTGCCCCTCACTCCTGCTGCCCCTCGTGGCTGGTCCTGAGTCACACACTGGGCTGCCCCTCACATTATCACACACTGCCGACTCATACCACGGCTGGGCAAGGGCCACAGTCAGCACTGGAAGGGGCAGGGGGCCGAGGCTAGGGGTGCTGCTGCAGCAGGAGTGAGCTCCAGGGTCCTGGGACCCAAGCAGCTGTCCCCACCTCTGCCTGCCTGGGCTTCTGCCCACCCTGCAGTGCAGCGGCTTCCTCAGGAGGGCCACTCGCCCCGCGGTCTGGGTCACCTGGGCCACCTCTGTCCCTTGCTGAGCCCTGCCCTTCTCCCTCCATTCAGGGACTTCTGCCACACTCAGCCGCCTGCCCCCTTTCTGTCCCCCGCCCCCTTGCAGGACTACGGCCCCAAGGTCAACTTCCGGAAGCAGAAGCTCAAGCCTGCGGGTTTCTGCGGCCTCCCGGACTACAGCCGCGAGGTGGTGCGCAGGATGGGCCTGTACCCGGGCCTGGAGAGCTTCCGGCCGGTGGAGCAGTGCAACCTGGACTACTGCCCCGAGCGGGGCTCGGCCATAGACCCGCACCTGGACGACGCCTGGCTCTGGGGCGAGCGCCTGGTGAGCCTCAACCTGCTCTCGGCCACCGTGCTGTCCCTGTGCCGCGAGGCGCCCGGCAGCCTGCTGCTTGGCCCGGCCCCGGCCGCCGGCCCCGAGGCGCCCACCGACAGCCTCATTGCCCCCAGCCGCTCGGTGCCGTGCCAGGAGGTGGAGGTGGCCGTGGCCCTGCCCCGCCGCTCCCTGCTGGTGCTCACGGGCGCTGCGCGGCACCAGTGGCAGCACGCCATCCACCGCAGGCACATTGAGGCCCGCCGCGTGTGTGCCACCTTCAGGGAGCTGGCTGCCGAGTTCCGGCCCGGTGGGCGGCAGCAGGAACTGGGCCAGGAACTGCTGGGCCTCGCGCTGTCCTTCCAGGGCAGGCCTGTGTGAGCCGCTGCCACCCTGCTACCGCATCAGCGCTGTTTGGGAGGGCCGTGCTCACCTGAGTTCACAGAGTGTTGGTTCCACTTCCTCTGCCCCTTCCGTGCCCTGATCCAGGATTCGCCCCTGCTGCCGCACGAGCTGCTGTAGGAGCTGACACTGTGGAGCTTAGCCTGGGTCGGGCCGCCCTCCTCACCGGCTTGCTGTGAAAAAGAAACCTCCCCTCCCAGGAAACTGCGAGGCTGTCCACTTTGTGGGGTGCTTCCCTGGGCAGGCCTGGCCATCAGGTGCAGGGCAGGCCTGGGAGGTTGAAGGGATGTGGCTGGCCAGCCCTCCCTGTGGCTGCCCCCAGGGTGGGCTCACCACCCCCTGGGGGATCAGGGCCTGGTCTCTGCCGCTGGGATCTGGCTGGGGGTTGCTGCAACCCAGCTTTGGGGCTTTGATGTGGGGAGCATCTGGGGGGCTGCCGATGGGAAGGATGCCTGGGTTTCTGGTGGCTGGGTGACAGACACCACCTCTCTGTGGGACCCTAAGGACAGAGGCAGGCCGCTCCCAGGGCTCTGGGTCTCTCCCTGCTGCATAGGGTACGGGATGGGGGAGGGTTGGTGAGCAGTTGAAATGCTGTGCCAAGGTAGGGCCGACTGGCCCCTCGGCGACCTGCAGGACACGTGGAGGGAGTCACTGTGGTCTGTAGCAGCCCCAGGCCTCTAGGCCACCCTGTATCCCTGCACCCCACACTCCATACCATGGGAACTGCTGCTTTGTGCACTGACCCCTGGGAATCTCTAGGCTGGACGTGCCGGACAGCTCCTCTCTGGCACAGCAGGGGCTTCCTTGTGGCCCTAGAGGTGGCTGCCATGTAGACAGCCTGGACACTGGCCCCATGACTACAGGGACCCGAGCTTGAGTGCCTTCCCTCCCGGAGGCCTCCAGGACCTTCTGAGGGTGTCAGATGGACTGCCCACATGTGGCTACTGCTCCAGTTCTGTGTTGTTGGCTGTGCCCTGCACCAGGGGTGTCTCCATTCCCTCGGGGGGGGGGGGGGCTGATGCTGGCAGCTCACAGCCCATCTGAGCCCACCTGCCCCTGCTGGGGAGAAGCCTGCGTCACCCCACCAGGGCAGCGACAGGTGATGGGCTCACGCACCAGGGGGAGGGCCAGTGGCTGCCACACGTGCCCTGCCCTGCCCTGCCCTGGTGGCGTCCCAGTAGCATAAAGAACCCCAAGTATCTTTCACTAATTTATTCAGCTCCATCCAGGGCCGGTGTTTCAGAGGCCCACCCTGTGGGATCAACAGGGGTCGTGTGAATGGCTGGTGCAGGCAATGGCCACAGATGGTCCTCCATGGTCTGTCCACTGCCGGCCTTCTGACTTGGCCGTTTCTAAAAGACAAATCCATGCCTTCTAGGGCGTGTGAGTGTAGCAGGGTGCACGCTCTGACAGTGCCAGCAGCTTTTCCTTGTGGGAAGCTGGGGCAGGCCGGTACCAGCTCAGCTCGGCCTGCTGCACCTTGGCACACTGTTAACCCAGGCTAGACTCCAGGAAGCCATACAGGCTCTGGCTTCATGCCATCAGCCAGGTTACCTGGCTCTTCCCAGGGCTGGGAGGGTAGCACCATGCCGTGTTGTTCCTGTGTCCCGTCATGTTGCTGTAGTTCCACTGGACACGCTGCCCATCAGCTGCCAAGCCTGGCTGGGGCAGCTCCTCTGCACTCAAGCCCTGCTCCTGGGTCTTTGCAATGCCCTTGCCTGACCAATGCTGCCAGGAAACCTACCTGGGAGCGAGGCTCAAACTACAGCTGCCTAAACTGGAACCTCCTGATTCAGCCCGAGCGCACTGGCCACAGTCTCGCACCTTGCCGGAGTTCCACTTTTGCCAGGGCAGCACCAGGTGATCACAGTATTCGGGTGGGAGGCCAGCTGTGGTCCTGGGCTGCCTGGCGGGGCCCTGCCAGCAGTCACACCACCTGCAGGCTGCGTTCGTGCCCGTCCAGCTGCACCTTGAGCTTGTGCAGTTCCTCGATCTCGCGGTTGTGGCGCTCTGTCTTGTGGCGCACCAGCGAGCGGTAGAAGTGCATGGTGAAGACCACGAAGATGAGGCCCACAGGCACCATGATGATGGTGGACACCAGAGCCGCCTGCCAGCCAGTGTGGCCACCGGGGCCCGGCAGGGGGCCGGCCTGGGGCCGCGCGTCCACAGGCAGGAACTTGATCCAGCACAGCAGCACCACCTCAGCCAGGAAGAGCAGGATGCCGAGCACGGTGGAGAAGCCCCAGGCCAGCTCAATGTAGGGGTGCATGCGTTCGTGCGGGGACTCGCTGATGGAATTGAGGTTGTGGATGTTACTCACGGCCTCCACGTTGGGCAGGATGCAGGTGCTGATGAGCAGCGCGAACAGGTGCACAGCCACCAGCACCGTGGTGCAGGCGCTGAAGGCGATGAGCAGCGGCCGTGGGTACTGGTACTGTGTCTCCAGCTGCACCTCCACCATGGCCACCTGCAGGACAGAGGGGCTGGGCTGGGCTGAAGCCTCAAGAGGGTACTACTTTTTTTTTTTAAGAAGATGTGTTTATTTGAAAGGCATAGCAACAGGGAGGGAGGAAAGAAACAGAATGTCCCCCTGCTAGTTCACATTCCAAGTGGCCACTTCAACCAGGTTAGGGCCAGGCCGAAGCCAGGAGACAAGAGCTCGAACCTCGTCTCCCACATGGGTGCTAGGGGACCTGCTACCTTCCAGGCACATAAGCAGGGAGCTGGGGCAGGGAAGCAGCAAGACTCAAACCTGGCATTCTCATGGGATATTGGGATGAGGGCTGCCAGCTTTGCCTATTGTACCACCTTGCCAGTCCCTGGCTGTTCAAATGTTTCAGGGGTGAGCATTGTGATGCAATAGGTTAAACTTCGGCCTGCAGTGCCAGTATACTGAATGGGTACTGGTTTGAGTTCTGGCTACTCCACGTGTGATCCAGCTCCCTGCTAATGGGCTGCGGACGCAGCAGAGGATGGCCCAAGGGTTTGAGACCCTGCACTCACATGGGAGACCATTCCTTTCTGGGTGCTTCTGGTCCCACTCTGCACTGTACTCCCAGAGTGCATCCTAGGGGGCAACAGGTTAACGGCTCAGGGATGTGGTCTCCCCACACGGAGACCAGGATGGAGTTCGGGGTTCCTGGCCTCAGCCCAGCCTCTGGCTGCTGCAGCAGATGAGACATTTCCGTCCAGCCCTCCCAGGCTCTCCACATCCCACCCTCTCATCAACCCAATGGCGCCCTCCCAATCCACCACCCCACCCTGGCACCGGGGATTGTCCCCACGAGGGCCTACACCAGGCCCATGAATGTTCCAGCAGCCACTGCCTAGTGCTCGTAAGGTAGGATCCAGAATGGTCGAGCAAGGGCGCAGGAGAGGCCGGCTGCTCAGCCTCGCACTGCATCGGGCCATGGCCACGCGGGAGAATGGGACTACCTCTGACCTCCGACCCTGGCCCCCGCCAGCAGGTCCCGGGAGGCCAGGAGTGGCTCCAGTCCTTGGGTCCCTGCCACCCACCTGGGAAACCTGACCTGTGCTCCTGGCTCCCACTTCACCCACGGTCCCATACTGGCCACTGCAGGCATGTAGGGAGCGAACCAGCACACAGAACTTCTCTCATTTCTCTTTCTCTCTAATCCTTAAATAGTTTTTTGTTTTGTTTTGTAAAAGAAGGTAGAGGATTTCTACCACTGTTTTTTTGCCTAACAGATCTGACCCATCCCTGGTTTTTAAAAAAGAATATTTATTTTTATTGGAAAAGCAGATATACAGAGAGGAGGAGAGACAAAGGAAGAATCTCTGTCCACTGATTCACTCCACAAGTGGCCACAATGGCTAGAGCTGAGTCAATCTGAAGCCAGGAGCCAGGAATTTCTTCTGAGTCTCCCACACGGGTGCAGGGTCCCAAGGCTTTGGGCTGTCCCCCACTGCTTTCCCAAGCCACAAGCAGGGAGCTAGATGGGAAGCGGGGCTATTGGGATTACAACTGGTGCCCATATGGGATCCCAGTGTGTTCAAGGCAAGGACTTTAGCCAATATGCTATCGTATTGGGCCCCATCCCTGATTTTGTACAAAAACTGAGGAAGGGGTGTGTGTTGAACGTAGCAGTTAACGCTGTGTAGGCTGCTGTGTCCCCAACTCGGAGTACCTGTGTTCAAGTCCCTATTCTGCCTGCACCTGCCTGCCAGCTCTCTGCCAGTGTGTACCTGGGGCCAGGCACTTGGTCCTTGTCCCACTCTCAGGGGGCTTGGAGTGGGTCCCGGGCTCCCAGCAGAAGCCTTGCTGCTCCCTGTTGGCCCACCGCCCCTCCCTGTGCAGGGTGTAGCCCTGGATGTTGCAGGCATTTAGGGAGTGAAACAGCAGATGAGAGAGCTCTGGTCTCTTTCTGCCTTTCAAATACATAAAAATTTAGAATAGAACAAGCTGCCATCTACTTAAAAAAATAGGAGTCAGTGACAAAGTGACTCCTTCACAACTTCCTTCAGCAATTACCCTCCTGGGAGGGAGGGACCCAGCCCCGCACCTTGCCTGGGCTGCTGACCAAACTGGTGAATGGCAAAGCACATCGTGTTCTTGGGGGACCAGAGCCCCAGAAACAGCTCAGCAGCCATAAGGGCTGGGGCCTTAGAGAAAAGCCAAGAACACACAGGTGCGTCATGTTCGCAGCACAGTGGGCTAGGCTGCCCGTTGTGATGCCGGCCTCCCCATAACATAGCACTGGTTTCAGTCCTGGCAGATCTGCTTCCAATCCAGCTCCCTGTCCTCTGCCTGGGGAGGCAGCAGATGAGAGCCCGCATGTCTGGGCCGCTGCCACCCACGTCGGGGAGCTGGACATGGCCCAGCCCTGGTTGTTGCTGCAGCTATCTGTAAGAGGAACCAGCACATTCACTATCTAAGCTCCTCCCTTCTGCTCTTTCATATAAATATTTCAAACTCTAAAACAGCAGAAAGCAAAGAGCAGCTGCCCGACACTGGCTAAGGGTGGGTGTCCTTCCACGGATCCCACGGGGCCCTGCAGTGCCGGCTGGCACACCATGGATGGGGCCCGAGGCAAGGTGCTGCCAGCTACTCAGCACTTTGGGATTGCAAGGCAAGAGGCAGGGACGCGAGAGCCTGTAGAGGCACACAGCCAGATGGTGGGTGTGCCTGTGCCCACGCAGACCGGTGGCCCTGGAGGAACTGTGCTGCTGTGGCAAGGGAAGGATCTGGGGTGGGTGGTGCCCTGGGCTGGCGCCCACACTCACTGTCCAGCTGACACAAAGAGGGGCCCGGCAGGGCAAGCTGGCTGGCTATGCTCTGACCAAAGTCCTGCAAGCACGCAGCAGTGGTTTCCTTTTGTCAATACGTATTTACCATTTATTTGAAAGACAGAGTTGGAGATGGATCTCCCATCCATCTGCTGGCTCTCTCCCCAAATGGCAGCAAAAGCTGAGGTTGGAGCAGGCCGAAGCCAGGAGCCAGGAACTTTTTCCAGGTCTCCCATGGGGGTACAGGGCCCCAAGCCCTTGGGCCAGCCTCTGTTGCTTTCCCAGGTTATTAGCAGGGAGCTGGATGAGAAGTGGAGCAGCCGAGACTTGAACAGGAGACCTGTGTTGGATGCTGGTGCTGCAGCTGGCAGCCTTGCCTGCAGCAGTCTGATGATGTGCATCTGTCACTAATGTTCCCCATTCACAGACTGAATGACACCTGAGTTGGCAAAGGACTGTTCACACAGCAGGTGCAGATATGCTGGCTTCTAGAAGAGGGCAAGAGGTCTGGGACTTCTCCAAGCTGCTGGTGCCAAGGATACACCAGTAACACGGGAAAGAAAAGAGGGCCTGGCACGATAGCATGTTGGCTAAAGTCCTCACCTTGAACACACCGGGATCCCTATGGATGCTGGTTCTAATCCTGGAAGCTCCACTTCCCATCCAGCTCCCTGTTTGTGGCCTATGAAAACAGTGGGGGACAGCCCAAAGCCTTGGGACCCTGCACCCGTGTGGAAGACCTGGAAGAGGCTCCTGGCTTCAGATTGGCTCAGTTCCAGCTGTTGCGGCCGCTTGGGTAGCAAACCATCGGATGGAAGATCTTCTGTTTCTCTCCTCCTCTCTGCTGTATATCTGCCTTTCCAATTGAAAAAAAAAGAAAGAATAAGCCTGGACAGGGTGCAGTGCAACGGCTCAGCAGCTAAATCCTCACCTTTCAAGCACCAGGATCCCATGTGGGCACCAGTTTGTGTCCTGGTTGCTCCACTTTCCTTCCAGCTCCCTGCTTGTGGCCTGGGAAAGCAGCTGAGGACAGCCCAGAGCCTCAGGACCCTGCATCTGTGTGGGAGACCCAGAGGAAGTTCCTGCCTCCTGGCTTCAGATCATCTCAGACTACTGAAGCCATTTGGGGAGTGAACCAAAGGATGGAAGGAAGATCTTGTTCTGTCTCTCCTTCTCTTTGACAATCTGCCTTTCCAATAAAATAAAAACATTTAAATATATATATAATAGGCTGCTGGGGAAAACATTGTTGTGGTTTTTAGGTTCCATTTTATTTATTTACCTGAGATAGTGCGGGCCCCTAGCCCCTGGTTCACTCCCACATGTCCACGATGGGCAGGGCTGGGCCAGAGGGCCCCAGGAAGCAGGACCTCTGAGGCGGGGGGGGGGGGGGGGAGGCTTCCCGTGTGGTTGGTCATGGCTGCTGCCAGGGAGCTGCAGTCAGAAGACCACGCTGGGACCAGGCCTTGGCTCCCCTGAGGATTCTGGGAGGGGACACAGGCGTGGACTAGGGCCTTAGCTGCTGGGCTCAACTCCCACCCTGTTCGTTTGAACATGGTGCAGACCACAGGTGGAACCAAAGTCACGCACCACATGATTATATGCAGTGGTAATCACATTTAAAACAAAAAAGCCTTTGCTTTCAACTACAGACCTAAAGGCAAATGCACCGCCCTCCAGCTTATGCGGCCGGTCCTGGCTTGCCCTCTGACCACAGAGAACCTCATTTTTCTGAGGGCGGCCAATCCCGGTGACGCAGCAGGATCTGAGGGCCCCAAGGGTGTGGCCTCTGTCCCTAAATTGCACTACCTGTGCTATGAGGGTGCAGAGGCAAGCCCGTGTGGCCCCTCTGAACACGCCATCCCAGGGTGGAGTGGCGGTCCTGACACCTGCACCTCCTACCCAGGGATGTGGAGATAAACCCTGGCCCACACTGCCTCTTGTCCTGGGGGACAGCATAGAGGGAAGGCAGGAGTTAGGGGGCCAGCCAGGTATGCCAGTCTGCCACCCTGCAGGGCCACTAATCCCAGCTGACCCCTCATTTCCTGCTCAAACCCCTCAAAATTCCAAACATGGGGTGTCCCTGAGATCAGGTAGCTGTAGGCCCTCCCATGCTCCTGGCCGAGCAGAGTGAGGCTCGCTGGGCCTTGGAGCCCCGGGGGTCCCTCCCACCAGCCTCTTAGGAACAAAGCTGTCTTCTAAGATCATCCCTGAAGTGCACACCAGTCATGGGGCTGGCATGGCTGGCAGGGCAGCTCCTGTACTCACCATGGCAAAGCCAGAGAGGAGGGCTGAGGTCCGGCTGGAGGCCTTCAACTTGGCCCTGCTCAGGTACAGCTTCCTCCAGGACAGTGCCTGCACTGAGTGGTGGTTGGAGGTGACCAGTTCCAGGTAGCTGCGGCGGACCCAGTCCCGGTAATCCATGCCCTTGTGGCCGGGCTCAGAGCAGGCCGGGGTGGAGGGGTCCGCAGGCACGCTGAGCTCAGCGCTCATGGTGGGAGCCAGGCTGTGAGGGGAGGGAGACATGTTCAGACAGCCTGAAGGGGGATCCAGCCCACCTGGCCTTGGGCAGGCGGGGTCTGCTATGCACACGGCTGGGTCACAGGTGGCATGGCTCCCTTCCGTGGGCCCCAAGCTCTCCCTGTGCCCATCTTGCATCTGCCACCTGCTGCTCAGGGAGGCTGCGGGAGTGTAGTGGAATCCTCAGGCCCGCCCTGCCTGCAGGAGGAGCGGGCTGGAGGGATGATCTTCACGGTACAAAACCAACATATGACTCACAGCATAGCCCCAAATTTCATGCTGATCTTCTCCAGAAAGGGGGCAGTGCTTCCCACAGGACCACTGGCCCAGGTCGTGCCCCAGGCGTTTGCAAAGAGCTGCTCCAGCCCCATAGATTCTAATCTGCACAGTTCCTGCTAAGCACTTGAGTTTATGCAACTCAGGCCCAGCCCCTTGTCAGCTGCAGTGGAAACCTGTTGAAAATGAGAAAGGAGGGCCCGGCGGCATGGCTTAGCGGCTAAAGTCCTCACCTTGAACACACCGGGATCCCATATGGGTGCCAGTTCTAATCCCGGCAGCTCCACTTCCCATCCAGCTCCCTACTTGTGGCCTGGGAAAGCAGTGGAGGACGGCCCAAAGCCTTGGGACCCTGCACCCGTGTGGGATACCCGGAAGAAGTTCCTGGCTCCTGGCTTTGGACCAGCATAGCATCAGCTGTCGTGCTCACTTGGGGAGTGAATCATTGGATGGAAGATCTTCCTCTCTGTCTCTCCTCCTCTCTGTATATCTGACTTTCCAATAAATAAATAAATAAATCTTAAAAAAAAAAGAAAGAAAATCAGAAAGGAAACACACCAACTGGCATGTGTCCACTTGAGGGGACTAAGGGCTTGGGGTTCCTGGGTCCTCTGCTGGCAGACACCTGGGTGGATAACGGCACTGACCAATTGTCAGCAGGACTTGGGAGAATTCAGACCTACATCTCCACCAATGCATGTGGGGATGGGCCACATCCTATGACCCCCAGAGCCAGCCTGGGTGGCCACACTTCAGGACTAATTAACCCACAGAGCTGCCCAAAGGCACAGGCACCTTGCAGTTCATTTGGCCTCAGGGGTCCCCTGGGAGCCCACTTGAGGCACTGCTTCTGATTAACTGGGTGTTTCTGGTGCCAAGGAGTAAGGCTGGGGGTGAGTGGGTAGCTAAAGACAGCAGCTGGGAGGTGCCCACTCTGGAAGGGCCAGACAGGACGCTGGATGCTGTAGGTGGGAAGCTCAACGCACTATCTGATCTCTCAGCCAGGCCACAGAGTCGCCAGGGCTGCCAACTTGGGTGCCTGGATGCATCTCCCCACCCACGCCTGCAGCCAGCAAACACTGCATCACGGGAACCGCCCTTGGAGAAACGTCACAGAAACACAGCTAATCTGTCAGCTGGTTAGTGCCAAATGACTGGAAACATCACCAAGGAGGAAAGACACTTAATTCTCCCTCTTCTCCCTGGGTGTGTGATGGAGCTGGGCCTGCAGGGATCACAGAGACCTGAGGCAGCATGTGGCAGACACAGAGGCTCCTTCTGGGTCTCCATGGCATCTGGCTCCCAGGACGGGGCACCTGAGATGGACGCTGCCCAGTGAGGACAGTGACAAAGGGGCAACTGGCAGCTGGGGAGCTGAGCGCTGCAGTGATGGGCCAGGGCAGAAGGGGGGCAGGTACTATAAGGGACAGAGTTGGGGAAGACTAGGTGAGCCGAGATCACCCTCAAAGGCCTGCGGCTACCCACGTGGAGGAACCCAAGGGGCAGAAAGGCAGCTAGTTGCAGGCACAGGTGTAGGATGGCCACCATGGCATTCCAGAGGGCATGGGGAGCTGTGTATAGAAGCCCCTCAGAGACAGGGTCACAGTGCCAGGCAGGCATGAGGAAAGAGTGCATGGGAGCAGAATGGGTTTTGCTGGGCCAAGGGACACAGGCCAATGCAGAGAAGGACCCGTGGCTTCCACAGTCGGGGGATGCATGGGGTGACAGAGAGAGTGGCTCAGAGACCAGCAGGGAGCCAGGCCAGGTGCCAACCTGAAACTGGAGGTCTGAGGACAGCCTCCCATAGTGGCCAGGGCCCAGTAGATGTCTAAGGATGGGATGGGGTGGCAGGAATGAAGATAAAGAAGCCACTTCCTCCAGGATGGGATTCACAGCCGGGGCGGGGCCTGGGTCCGAGCCCTATTGGGGAGCAGTGGCTGACCCCCACACTGCAGCTAATGCTGGGGCCTGAAGGGCACCATGGAACCCACATCTCTGCCAGGTGGCACCTGTGCCAAAGATGTGCCCCTGGCCAGCCGGCTGCCCCGGGGCCACTGTGTGTGGCCTGCCGGGCAGGGCGCCGGCCCACACATACAGGCCTGCCGAGGGTTTCCACCGGCAGGTTTCCGAGTCTGACTTCCTCTAAACATCTGGGGCACAGGCAACAGCGAGTGGCTCATCACACAGGGGGGAGGGGGGGCGGGGGGCGGGGGGGGGTCCGCCCGCACCTCTGAGGCAGCCCTAGGGACCGCAGGTGGACCCCCCAGCCTCCAGTCCTCTCGGTGGCATCCCGCCAGGGATCCCCCACCAAGGATTACCTGGTCCAACCCCCATCACCCTGCCCAGCAGCCAGCCTCTTCTCCTTCCGCCCATCTTGAGGCGGCTCCTGAGAGAAGTCACCATCCCCTCAGCCAAGGGTCCTTGCTCCAATTCCACCTTAACTGCGTGTGGATTGTTTCCTTCAACCCCCGTGCTTCCCCTCCCCGAATCCTCCGCTCCGAGGGTGGGCGCGCACCCTCTGCTAGCACTCACCGGAGCGGCCCTGGCTCCCTGCAGGCGGCCGTGGGGTGGCTCCGCGGCCGTGTGGCCTTGTGGCCGGGGCGCTGAGCGCGGCCCCCTCCCTCCTTCCGCCCGGCCCGCAGGGTCCCCCCGGGCCCCGCCTGCGCCGGCCCCGCCCCCGCAGGCCAGGCCGCTGCAGTGGCTGCCAAGGCAACGGCGCGCGCCACCACGTGACCCGCCTCGTGGGGTGCGGCGGGCCACGTGACCTCCAGGAGGGGAGGGAAGGTATCTGTGGTCCTAAAGAGGGGGTCCCTGCCCCTCACTGGGACCCTCCTCGGGCCTGGCAGTGTGCATCGCCCCCGGATGCACAGCAATTCCGGTTCCGCAGTGGTGCATGGGGGGACGAGGCAAGCCTGAGTCCTGAGCCCGGGCTGCCACCACAGACCCCAAGCTGGGTTTTCCCTGACAAGCAGCCAGCAGAGCAGGGCCATGGCAGCTCCGCCTGAGGTGGGTCTGAGTGCGGCACAGCTCTGGGGTTCCTGGGGTTCGCCTCGGAGGATGCCAGCATCTCTTCTTGGCCACGTGGGAGGTGCGTAGGTGGAGCAGGGCGTGAGGGGGTCAGAACCGGTAAAGGGCTGGAAGGAGAGGCCCTGGCTGACCACGCCCGAGTTTGCCCAGGGCGTACCACATCTCCCGGCCGCAGTGTGTATGGAAGTGGCTGGCGAGGCGAAGGGTGTCATCTAGCACCCACCCCCCACTCCTTTGCAGCTCAGGTTGGGCAGAGGAGCCCAGTACCTTTTCCGTTGCTGCTGCTGCGAGGCACCTGTCACCCTTGATGAACTCTGCGGTTTTACCAGTGAGCTACTCCAACAGGAAGTGCACACGAATAATTCCCCCAGCAGTGCTGTGGGTTCATGTCAGTCTGCCGGTGCCAGACGGCCCCATGGAGCCCTCCCTGAGTGCCTGGTAGGCTGCCGTGTGCCCTACATAGCATTTTTCCATCTGTCCCAACAGCGTCGGACTGTGACACACTTATCAAGTGGAAGAACAAGTCTGCTCGTGTCTGCCAGTCCAGGTTCTGACACCTGGAAGAACCCAAGGGGACCTTTTCATCCAGGGGCCCTCCTCCCCCCCTTTGGGTCACCCCATGGGAGCCTAACTCCTGCTGCAGGGGCAGAGTCTGTCAGAAGGCTGTTACCTTCCAAAGCTCAGGCTCCCGGCAAGGCGGCCCGGGGACGGGCAGGAAGCACTGTGTGTGCTCCCCCCGGTCACTGACTCAGGCTAGAATGCTTGCTGGCTCCCGTCTCCCACCCGGCGGCTCAGAAGGCTCTCTGCGCTGGCGCGTGTCTCCTCCAGCCCCTGCCAATTGTTCCACAAGCCCAGACAGTGCCCAGAGCCAGTGTGCCAACCAAACATGCTTAACATGAACTGTTTCCTACTGTGGCATGCTGTGATGGAGGGAGATGGGACAGTGGTCAGGGTAGTCAGCGTGCATGCCGACTGGCCCCAGGGGTAGAGTGAAGACTCCCTGGAGGCAGGGCGTCCCTGGAGGCCACAGCTATGCACCCTCTGAACCCCACCAATGTGTGGAAAGTCTGCTGAGCGCAGTCACCTCGCTGCCCTGCTTCCTCTTTGCCCCAGGCCAATCCCCTCAGCCCTGCACTCCCAGGACTGAGCCCTTGCCATCCCCCAGCGGCAGCCCATCTGGGAAAAGCCCACCTCTGGCCCCTTTTCCCCCACTCCTCCTCCTCAACTCTGCAGAGACCCCCTTACCCCTGACAGCCAGACCTCCTGAAGAGACTCCTACTTCTGACTCATCCTTCCAGAGCACAGCCTGGCTCCATTACCCCTTCATGCCTGTGGTCCATTGCCATCAGCCCAACCACACAGCTCAGCCCAAAGGGTGTGTCAGCCCGCCCTGAGGCAATGTCCCATCATCCACCTGGCTGGCGACATCAATCTAGTGCCCCCTCACCAAGGCCATCACCATGCCCAGCTGCTCCCTTTCAGCTGTGCTGGTGGCAGCTCACCATCCTGCTACTCACATGGCCCTACCCTGCCCACACCCAAAGCCTGGATCAGTGTCCAGGCAATGTATGGAGTGCACCCCACTGAGTCCTGCTCCCCACCATCCCTGGCCACCAGTGCTGGCTTTGGGATTCCCACGGGTTCAGCACTTAGACCTGCCCAGTACCTTTTACACAAGCAGCCTCCCAGGGCCTGTGGCAGGCCGGTTTTCCAAAGCACATGCTTTACTGCAATCTGTTAACATGTGTGATTGTAGCTCACCGGAGCCAAGTCTGCTGGACAGTAAACACACAGTACCTACCGGAGGGGAGGCAGAGAAAGAGCTGGCCAGGAACCGGACAGGGCTAGCCTAGCTCCCGCTGAGGAATCCGGGGGTCCTCTCCCTCCCGCACACCTGCTCCTGAAAACAGAGAAGTAAACGTAGCATCACCACGGTGCGTCCTGGGCGGTGGGTATGGAGGGTGTTTACAATGAGCTGTAAACACTGTTAGAACTTCCCCGTGGGCACTTAGTCACCCGAATTCGCAACCACAGGGAGACAGTGGCAGAGTGGCTCTGCGCAGGTACCAGGGAATATGAGCAAGGTCCAATCTTCATGGAGTTAAGGCTCTGTGCAGGGTGTGGGTGCTGGGGTGGCATGAGGTGGCGACTGTGAGACAGGTGCCAGGACCCCAGGGGCAGAGGGAAGGCTCCCTGAAGGCAGGGCATCCAAGCTGTAACCCAGGAATGAAGGTGGTCTGGCACCAGGGAGGGCGCAGGCCACTGTAGCTGCTACTTTGTTCCAAGGGTGGGGCAAGTCACTGGGGACTTGGCCCTCACAGGGTCACTGCTGTGTGTAGGACAGACTGGGGGTAGGCCTGAGCAGGGTGGGATGGGGGAGTGAAGGCACCATCCAGCTGGAGGACACTGGGAATGCAGGTCTGGGGTGCTGAGGCAAAGGCCACACGAATGAGCATCAGTGGCCACCTGCTCACAGATAGCTCTGAGGGAGGGGGATGGGCTAGGCAACAGTGAGGATGGCAGCCCAGAGGAGCAAGGTGGGAAGATGCAGAAAAAAACAGGCCTGCAGCTCAAGTTCATGTCTTCCCATCCTGAACCCAAGGTTCCCACTGGAACTACAGGGCAGGCTGTCAAGCAGACAGCTGCATGGGGCAGTCCAGACCCCGCAGACAATCAGGAGCCAGGGCGGGTGGTGTTCCAAGTCATGGCATGGTGCTGCATGCAGTGGAGCACAGGAGACTATGTACCACTCACCCCACAAAGAGCCCAAGCACAGAAGCCAGTGAAGGGGGGCAGGACGTGAACAGTGACACTGGACTTGGCAGGACTAGAAGTTTTCAGTGGACACTCAAGGCAAAAATCGGGTTGGATAAAGTGGAAGGGGGTGGTACAGTAAGCCAAGCCTCTACCTGCAGCGCCAGCTCCTGTCCCAGCTGCCCCACTGCCCATCCAGCTCCCTGCCTGTGGCCTGGGAAAGCAGTCGAGGACGGCCCAAAGCCTTGGGACCCTGCACCCATGTGGGAGACCCAGAAGAAGCTCCTGATTTTGGATCAGCTCTTGCCATTTATGGCCACTTGGAAAGTGAACTAGTGGATGTAATGGTTCTTTTTCTGTCTCTCCTTTCTCTGTAAAATAAATCTTTAAAAAGAAAAGAACAACAACAAAAAGCTGAAGGCATGGAAGTGGAGAGGATGCTGGAAAGAGCTGGGATGGAAAGAAGAGATGCGGGTGGGGTACCCAGATGGGATACGGGCTACTTCCTGGTGGCTGCTGGCTGACAGGAACGGGCAGGCAGGGGCATGGCCTTGGCCGAGAGCTTCTGCCTTCCCTGGACTCTGGGCGACAGGGACCGTCAAGGGGAGACGCCATAGGAAAGCTGCCTTTAGAAATGGTTCTCGAGGATTGGAAGGCCACTGCCAAGACCCAGGGGATGCCAGGGGATGCCGCAGCCCTGTGTGTGTCCCCATGCCTTTGTGAAGCTAAAGTGCAGGCACCAAACAGCACAATAATGGGGCAGTAAGAGTCGAGCACTCAGCTTTGGGAGCACTTCTAATTCCTGCATGCTTCCTGTCCAGGTGCTGTGCCCCACAAAGTCACCACCGGCATGGAGCTAGGCTCCTGGGAAAGGGTGGCGTGGGGTCCCTGTGAGCCTCGTACCACATGTCTCTCTTCAGACACATCAGCTGACACACCTGGCTGACTTGGCTGCCCTGAGCTCACAGCAGAGCTGGCCGAGCACTGCGTCCTCCACAAGGTGCACCACAGCTCTCCTGCGTGCTCGGGCACTAGCAGCAGTCAGTGGCCAATTCAGCAACAACCCCCACACACACCAAATCTACCCCTACCCTGGCCCCCTTTGCCCCTCAGGTGTGGGCTGCAGTTTCCAGACAGCTCACACAGCAGATGGACACTGCAGCCACTGGCTGGGTCAAATCCCAACTCTGCCACCTGCTGGCTGGGCATACTGGCCATTTCCCCAGAGCTCTGCCTGGCAGAGCCTATAGGAAAGCTGGTGGAGGGGCAGAGCACTCCTTTATTTTTTTGTTTGAGAGGCAGTGAGATGGAGAGGGAGAGCTCCCATCTGTTCGTTGACTCCTTCAAATGCCCACAGCAGCCAGGGCTGTTCCGGGAGGCAGGCAGGAGCCAGGAATTTCATCCAGATCTCCTCGCTGAGAGGTGGGGACCCAAGCACCTGAGCCGTTGCCTGCTGCCTCCTCTTGCATGGCACACATGAGCAGGCCACCAGGTTAGAAGCTGAGGCAGGATCTGTCCTTGGCATTGCCAACACAGAATGGGGGAACCCCAAGCAATGGCCGAAGCTACTGAGCAAGGCTTCCCATGCCCACACCCACCTCAGGCCACGTCCTCTCCCACAGTAAGCCAGGCTCGGGGCTGCACACCAGGAGCTCGGCCCGTGTTTGCAGGGGATGAGAAGAAAGGAATGAAGGCCTACCTCATGTGTTGCTCAGAATTCGGGCATGTGGGCTTGTGTTCCTTCCCAAGCCTGCCTAGCTCCTAATGAGCTGAGCAGAGAAATGGTCACAGTCTCACGGAGTGTCCTGGACAGCCAATGATGCCACACACATCTCCGTGGCCAGCTCCGAACGGCTCTCCCCCCGAGCTAGCAACCAGCCAGGGTGTGACTTCACGTCTCTCCCCTAATTGAAGCCCTTTCTGCGGGGTGGTGGGAGCACTAACCATCACCCGCTCCCCTCTCCATGACAGCATCTATTCTTCACCAAATGATACCCTGAGCAAGACTGAGTCACCCAACCTAGGGCTCATAGGACTCGGAAACCGCCAGGGGGCTTTGCCTGCCCTGGCGTTGGCTTCCGGGATCTGCAACGGCAACCCCAAGTCCAGTTTCCACCTGCGCATACTGAGCCCAGCTCCCTCTTAGTCTGTGGCCAAAAACTGGCCAGGGAGGAGGAGATGGTGCGTGGGTCTGTCAGGTCACACGCAGGGATGGGGCTTCAGGATCCAAGCTCTGGCACCTCCAATAGCACGGGTAGCAGGGAGTGTCTGTGGAATCCAGAGCCAGCAGAGACAGGATTAAGCCAGGGCACAGCCCTGACCAAAGGCAGCCCGCCAGCCCCGCTGAGAAGACACAGGCTTCGAACACGCGGCCAGGGGGGTGCTTGTTTATTAGACTGATGTTTCATCCCATCCCGGCTTTGGGCAAAGAGCAATGCCTGTGACCTGAACCACAAGGGCCAGGTGTGGTCACAGATGCCGGGCAGATCCAGAGTTTGCGGGAGATAGGGGAGGGCACCTGACTACACCAGCAAACACGCCTCGGGTTCCTTTCACTCAAAACCACCTTCAGTTCCTGGTAAGTCCACAAAACATACCTAGGTACTCAGAGATAAATGGTTCAAAAATGGAGCAGACTCTAGCCCCCTGTGCCCCAAAGGTCTAAAAGCACCAGGGTTCAGGGTAGACCCCAGGGTGCTGAGGCAGCCTGAGCCTGCAGCAGTGCCAGCCCTTTCTCTCAGACCGCAGCTTCTGGGAGATCCAGGGAGAAGGCCACGTCTCTGTGCACTTTCCTGTTTAGATCTCTACACTTCTGAGTAAAAATGCAGCCTGTGGCCAGCACTGCCCTGAGCTCCACACCCTAGCTCAGCCCCACTGCAGCAGCTTCCCCCTTATTTTCCTCATTACCCCTCACTTTTCCAGCAGCTCGCGTCACCAGTCCCCGTGCTGGAGTCTTGGCCCACCCCGCCTGTTCTGGGAGCTGAGGGCAGGAGAGCCACACAAGCGCTCAGCACCCGCCTCAGGACGGGGCCTGCTGCGTCCTGCAGCCCGCCTGCACTGTGTCATCCCACAGCCTCTGTAATGCACATTTTGCATGTCTCAACGAAACCCAGCGGTTTTCTGTGCTTTACTATGTAAGCGCTCCGCAAGTGGGTGCCACCCCAGGGTCATGGTGGTTTACTGGGAGAACTGTGCCAGCAGCACGTAAAGCCTCTCTCCTTTCCACAGGAACACGGCTGAGCCCCGCCCAGGAGGCCACAGGGCTCCCCACCCAGGGAGTCCTTAGGAGGAGGGCTGAAGGAAGGCCTCCTCTCCCTGCTGGGCACACCAGGATGCTCTGCGCCCCGGTCACGCATGAGCCGTGCTCCAGACAGCTGTGTCATCACCGCCCCATGATGAAGCTGGGCTGCTCTTCCTCTTCATCCTCCTCTGTTCCAGACGCCTCCTCAGAGCTACTGGACTGCGGCTCCGGGGCCTGACCGGCTCCTGTAACCACATGACATTCAGATTACAGACGTACAATCTGCTGGCGGAATCAAGGGTGTTTTTAAACAAGGGAGAGCTAATGGGGAAAACAAGGAACTACTGTACCCACACGCAGGTGGGGAGCCGCAGTGGCCCCCCCCCCGGCCACAGTGCCTCTCACCGTACCCTGAAGTGGGGTCAGCACAGGTGGGCCTCATGCTCACCGCCAGGGTGGCAGCAAACAGGCCCCTCCCACACCAGGCCCTACAGCTTGTGACCCTGGCCAGGCAACAGGGAGCACTGGGCTTACAGTGCCCACTGCAGTCAGCAAAGGACCTCCAGAATCACACGCAGAGGGAATCTGCCCTCAGCAAGCCTGCCAGCCACAGGCCCGGGACCCCTTCCTGACACCCACGTGCAGTATTTTCCCTGCTGCGATTGGCAGACGGGCAAAGGCAGAGCAAAGACAACTTATCCTGCTCTCCTCTTCTCTCTCACTTCTCCATGCCAGCAGAGCAGTGGGCAAGAGCTGGGAAGAGGCAAGGCAGGTGGCCTGGGCTCAGCCACTCCAGGTAACTCCTGCGGGCACGGCAGCCTCCAAAGTCACCATACAGGACTAACGCCAACATCACAGCCAGAGCTTGGCTCCCACGATCACCACAGGCCCAGATGAGAGTTTCACGGTGGGTCCCTTCTGGGGACAGAGCTGGGATGTCTCAGGATGCGAAGCCCTTCTTCCCTGCACCGCCATGTCAAACAGAACGAGCCATTTGCAGAGCTCAGGTGATGAGCTAGCTCCTGACTTGCACTGTGCTGTCTTCCCACACAGCATCTGCTTGGCTCTAGCAAGAGTCCCTGACGGCCACACCAGTGTTACAGGCCTGTGTGACAGACGGCTGAGTCAAGCGTGGTCCATGATTGTCAAGGCAAGGACCAGGAGTCAAGCTCAGAGGACTGGAACCCTCAGGCCCTGGCCCACCTTGTCTGCCATAAGTGCCCAAGGAAGCAAGGAATCTGGCATGCAAGGTACCAGATGGGCATCCTGCCCTCCATCCTGAAGGCCAGGGCACCAGGCAGCCCACTCCGCAGCTCAGTCCTCACACCCTAGCTGGGGGCCTCTACTCTAGAAGCTGGGCTTCAAGGCTGAAACTTGCAAAAACCTGTTTAGGTCTGAAGTTGGATTCTGTCCCAACATTGACAGCACATACATGGGTGAAGCAAGAGGTGCGTGCGCACACACACACGGATACAGCTGGACAAGGGCAGAGGCCCAAGCTCTGCAAGTGATGGTAACACGCTGGCAAACCTGGCTGGCCATGGCAGGGGGAACGGGGCAGGCCACCCAAGGCATTCCGGTGGTGGCCAAGCCCTCCCTTTACACAGCATGGTGTTATCCGCACTGAGAAGCATGCCCAAGGGTCCAGAAACAGCAGCTGGAAAGCAGCAAACTAGAACCTGCACAAGTTCAGGTCACCTGGCAATGTAACAAGTCACCCAACTCATTCTTTCATGTAGTAACTAAGTGAACGGCAATAAATCATTAACTAGCCAGCTACTGTGCTTAATGCAGCGGATGTAAAAATCACCAATCTAATCACAGCCGGAACGAGACATCAAGCACACAGGTTAGCATGGCCCGCACTGTTTTCAGAAGGCTGGGCAGCACCAGATGCTGGCACTGACTTGGCACAGCAAGGACTTTGACCTGCTGCTGGCTGGCGCCCAAACACGGCACCGCCAGACAGCCTCCCGTAGAGCTGAACACCATGCACTTCATCACACAGGCGGGCTCACAGGCATCTGCTCATTCACCTGAAACTCGGATGGTGCATGCCAAGGTTTGCTGCAGCTTTATTCCTAACTGCCAGGACCTGCAGGAACTCAGACGTCCTCAAGCAGGTGACTGGCCACCATGACATGCAAATCTTCAGCAACAAACAAGACGGAGGTACTCAAAGTCATGGGCGAACCTCAAGTGGGTCCTGCCAAGTGCAAGAAGCCAGCCTGGAAGAGGCAGCACACCCCATACCCCTCACCCAGCAACCCTGTGGAAAAGGCCAAACCAGAGACAGCGTGGAGTCAGGCAGAGTGGGAGGAACACAACAGATGCTCCCAGGCCAGGACACCATGCTGGGTGATGCCGTGATCCTGCAGTGTGACGACACCCACAGTGTCAACAATCCAACTCTAACTGTAACATGAGGGAAACTTCCCGAGGGTGTCAGGGGGCCCAGGACAGGATACTGGAGACAAAAGGAACCCACGCACATCACAGACGTGTGCCCCTGTGTGGGCACCTTCTGCACATGAGTGGAGCCTGCAGGGCGGGGGCCCCAGGAGCAGAGAGCCTGCAGGGCTGCATCCCTGGGAGCCGCACACAGCGCTGCTCTCTGCTTGCCGAGGTCCCTTCCCACAGGGCAGTGTCCCTGTGTACGAGACCTGGACAGCTCCCACTGGAGATGGACGGCGGGGCAGCATTCCTCATGCAGGAGACAGACACCAGGGAGACAGGAAGACTAGTGTGATCGCTGAGCTGATGGCTCAGGGCTGCAGAGGCGCTGCTGGTGAACAGAGACGGATGGCTATGTATCCCCCCTCAGGACACACAGGCTTGGCTGTGCAGGCAGCCGGGAGCCCCACACACCAACACCCAGCAGCACCCCCGGTGCACAGATCCTGGTTTCGAATATCATCCATCCTGCAAATGGAACCAGTGTTTCTTAGACAAATGGCCATTTCTAGGTCTGGGACAGAAAATAGGATGTCTGTGAGTGCTAGAGAATGAGAAGCAGAGAAAAGAAAAAAATCCACCCAGGGATGGGGCGTTGTCAAAGGAGGCAAGAGTCCACAGGAAGAGCTTCTGGTGGCCGAGGTGGGGACTGGACTGGACCTGACACAGGGACCTCAGGCTGGCAAGCCGGGGGGGACAGGGGTGTTCACAGCCAAGAATCCTGCTGCCTGGCCAGCCCTCCCAGGGTACACTCCTGCTGGAGAAGTGGTGGGCCTCCTCCCAGAACACGCAGCCCCAGTCTAACCATGGGAGAAACAGAGAATTCCAGTGTGAGGACACTGCAGAGGAGGCCTGACCCGAGGAAAAGGACAGCTCAACTCACAGGAGCCTTAGGACATCCAGATCACAGGTGACCCGACTAAGGGAAAGGTGCAAACCCTTGGACCCTGCACCCGTGTGGGAGGCCTGGAAGAAGTTCCTGCCTCCTGGCTTCGGATTGCCACAACGCCAGCCGTTGCAGTCACTTGGGGAGTGAATCACCAGATGGAAGATCTTCCTTTCTGTCTCTCCTCCTCTCTTTCTATATATATATCTGACTTTCCAATTAAAAAAAAATAAATAAATCTTTAGGAAAAAAAAACCCTAGCATCCTTTGTGGGGGCTGGTTCAAGTCCCAGCTGCTCCACTGCCCATCCAGCTCCCTGCTTGTGGCCTGGGAAAGCAGTGGAGGATGGCCCAGTGCTTGTGCCCTACACCCACCTGGGAGACCCAAGTGGAGTTCTGGAATCCTGCCGGAATGGCTCAGTGGCTCAGCCACTGCAGCTACTGGGAAGTGAACCAGCAGACGGATCTGTCTCTCTCCCTGTCACCCAGCCTTTCAAATCAATAAATAACTAATTAAAAATGGTTAAGGACTCAGCCTTCACTGACCACTCATGAGGCTGACCAAGTGTTACCAATACAAGTGCCACAGTCCCTTCTGGAAAATCACTTAACGTAGCAAAAGGTGGCAATGTGCACTCAGACCTCCCAGAGCATGGCACACCTCACTGCCAGCGAGCGGCTGACTCCCCCATTACCCGCCAGAGGGCGCCCTGGGACCACACTCAGGAAGCCATCCGGAGGGCAGCTAGGGAGATCCAACAGTCCCAGCATGTAAGGTGACACCTACTGTGTACTGCTGGGGGAACCTTTGGCTTTTTGGTTCCAAATAAGCACCACCACTTTCTCCCTCATTCCTGCTCTGCAATCAGGGAACATGATGACAATGGCAAGTGTTGTGGCAGCCATCTCACACCCGGGGTGGGGCAGTAAAAGCCAAGAGAACTGCAGGCCCGCTGGACCAGCTACTATTCAGCTACGGAAGCAGCAGGCTTCTCATCATGGAAAGGAAACTGACAACTCCTCACTAAGCCAGAGCAAGCTGACTCAGCAGATGAGTCCATCAGAACCAGAGAGATACAAGAACACTGGGAGGGCCCTGCAGTGCTCCCTGTGCACAAGGATGCTGCCAGATGCACACGCAGCAGCGGCGGCAGGCGCCTCCCTCCTAGCCAGAAGGCAAGGGCCAGTGTGGGGACAGGTGGCTAGGGCAGAGAGAGATAGGGGTCCCCTATGGACTGCCTGTGGGTTCAGCGTCCTTGCTGGGCCACTTTGGCCTGCTCACCCTGGCCTGTAGGCGAGCTGAGGCTCCTACAGGGAAGTGGGCATTTCCTCCAGGCCATGGGCAACACTGGACAGAGCCTACAGCCATGACAGGCAGTGCTGCTCACCTTCTTTCTGCTTCTTCTGTTCAAGTTTCATCTTCTTTGCCAATAATTTCTTCTCCTTCAACTTCTGGCTGTCAATGTAAAAGACACAAATGAACCGTAGCTTAGAATACAAACGTAAGGCCCAGCCAACAGCCTAGGGGCCAAATCCTTGCCTTGCATCTGCTGGGATCCCATAGGGGTGCTGGTTTGCGTCCCAGCAGCCCCACTTCCCATCCAACTGCCTGCTTCTGGCCTGGGAAAACAGCACAGGACAGCCCAAAGCCTTGGGACCCTGCACCCGCGTGGGAGACCCACAAGAAGCTCGTGGCTCTGTCTTTGAGTTGGCTCACTTCTGGCCACTGCAGCCATTTGGGGAGTGAGCCAGTGGACAGAGGATCTTACTGCTTTCCGAAAATCTTCGAAGAAAAAAGTCAGTCATGCTATCTAAAAACTTGCAGCAGAAACATTTTATCATCTTTAAAAAATAATAATAAAAGATTGATTTCTTTCAAAGACAGTTACAAAGAGAGAGAGACACAGATCTTCCATTTGTTGGCTCATGCCCCAAAGGGTTGTCATGGCGAGAGAAGGGCCAATCCAAAGGCACGAGCCAGGGACTCCATCCGGGTCTCCATGTGGGTGCAGGAAGCCAAGCACTCAGGACATCTCCCACTGCTTGCCCGGGGCACTAGCAGGCAGCTGGGTCAGAAGCACAACAGGCCAGGATTCTAACACATCCATACAGGATGCCAGAGGCTTAACCCATCACACTACAATGTCAGCTCCTTTGTTCTTTAATTTTAAAGATTTTATTTTGATTGGAAAGGCAGATATACACAGAGAAGGAGAGAGAGAGAGAGAGGAAGATCTGTCTGCTGGTTCACTTGCCAAGTGGCAGCAATGGACGGAGCTGAGCCAATCTGAAGCCAGGAGCTTCCGCCAGGTCTCCCACGTGGGTGCAGAGTCCCAAGGCTTTTTGGTCATCCTCTGTTGCTTTCCCAGGCAAAAAGCAGGGAGCTGGAAGGGAAGTGGAGCAACCAGGATACAAACCAGTGCCATATTGTTCCCAGGTGTATGCAAGGATTCAGCCACTAGGCTATCACACCAGGCCCCAATTATTTTCCCCTCCTTATTTGAATAGTATGGCAACACAGCAACAGAAACATTCTCACATCTACTGCCTTCTTCACAGATTCTCAGGAGCCAGGAGCCTGGAACTCTCTCCAGCTCTCCCCCCACCTCCATAGGTGGCAGGGACCCAACCAACTGTCTTCTCCCACAGCGTGTGCAGGCAGGAAGCTGGGCTGATGGCAGAGCAGCAGGACTTGGAGCAGGACTTGTCTGCGCACTGAGCAGCCATTCCTCCGCATCAGAGACCTGCCAGCAACACACACTCCTCACGGCCCTGCCAGTCCAGCATGGCCAACATCACGAGCCAAAAGCCGATCTGGGGAAGTCCTGAGGGGACTAGGGTAATCTCCAACACCCTGGAGGCGTGCTTCATCCCAAGATGCTCAGCTCTCTAAAACCTGAGACCATTTAAACACTCTCTCGGGTGCAGTACAGTAGCTTAGTGGCTAAAGTGCTCACCTTGCATGCACTGGGATCCCATATGGACACTGGTTCATATACCAGTGGCCCTGCTTCCCATCCAGCTCCCTGCTTGTGGCCTGGGAAAACAGCTGTGGACGGCCCAAAGCCTTGGGAGCCTGCATCCACTGGGAGCTCAGAAGAGGCTCCGGGCCTCTGGCTTTGGATCAGCTCAGCTCTGACTGTTGCAGCCACTTGGGAAGTGAATCAGCAGATGGAGGATCTTCCTTTCTGTCTCTCCTTTTATCTGGCTTTTCAATAAAAATAAAAAATAAATCTTTAAAATAAACAATATTTTAAAAAAGCCAAAAAACCAAATACACACTCACTCTCTCCTCACTACACAGACACACATAAACATAGCATGTACACTGTGCAGTCACTTGAGGAGGTCACAGAAGCTAATTTAAGGAACAAGCTAAACGGGAAGTCTGGTTATAGCACTTGGGAAGAATTGGGGAATGAATGGTCTTTCTCTCTCTCGGTCTCTCTAACTCTGCGTTTCAAACAAATAAACCAGACTTCAAAACAACAAAAATTCTGATGTTAAAACACAGATGTGAGGGGCTGACAGCAGTGGGCGAAGCTGCAGCCAGCAATACAAACGTCCCATACTGGAGAGGCAGTCTGAGTCCCAACAGCTCTGCTTCACTCCAGGCCACTGCTTGGGGCCCGGGCACACCAAGGCCAGGCCTGCCCAGAGCGCTAGGCTCCCAACGTTGGTCTTGTCCAGCCCAGCCCCAGCCTTGGTGGACAGCTGGGGAAGAGAACCAGTGGATGGAAGATTTCTTTTTTTGTCTCTACCTCTTTCTGTTATTGTACTTTTCAAACACACTACAGAAGCATTGGTGACCCAGAGGTCCACATGTTCCCCGAAGTCCTGGCTTCTAAGCTTTGTAGAGTTGGGCAGACGCAGGGGAGCTGAGAGCTGCTCTCGCCAGGCGCTGGGAGGACAGTGACTCCCCGGAAGGGCTGCCCGACAGAAGGCTGTGGGTCTGCAGAGTGGGTGCACTCGCTGGCCACCCACACCCACGTCCCTGCCTGGCCCGGGGTGCCGTGACTCACCGCTTCTTCCGCCGCTTGGCCGTCTGCTCCTCGGCAGCGATCTTATTCTTTTCCAGCCTTTTCTGAAATTCTGCATCCAACCTTTGCTGCAAACAAACACCCATCATTTGGACAGATTCGGGCCTGGGTAGGCTGCAGGAGGCCGCATGCAGGCCGGCTGTGGGAGTTCTAGAAGTCACACCACTGTGGGTTCTGTGGGCACCACGAGGCCCACAAGGCCACTTTATTTTATTTATTTATTTAAGATTCATTTTTATTGGAAAGTCAGACATAGAGGAAGAGAGTCAGCGAGGAAGATCTTCTGTCCGCTGGTTCACTCCCCAAGTGGCTGCAATGGTCGGAACGGAGTCAATCTGAAGCCAGGAGCCAGGAGATTCTTATGGGTCTCCCAAGCAGGTGCAGGTTCCCAAGGCTTTGGGCCGTCCTCAACTGCTTTCCCAAACCATAAGCAGGGAGCTGGATGAGAAATGGGGGCTGCCGGGACACAAACTGGTGCCCATATGGGATCCCAATGCATGCAAGGCCAGGATTTAGCCACTAGGCTATTGTGCTGGGACCTCTTTTTCAAAAAGATATATTTATTTTTACTTCAAGGTGATATGGGGGAAAAAAAGATCTTCCATCTGTTGGTTCACTCCCCAAACAGTCACAATAGCCAGGGCTGTGCTGTTCTGAAGCTGGGAGCAGGAGTTTCTTCTGGATGTCCCACATGGGTACAGGGACTCAAAGACCTGGGTCACCCTCTACTACCTTTGCCTAGCAGGATGGGAAATGGAGCAGCTGGGACACAAACCAGCAGCCACACGGGATGCTGGCAACACAGACGGGATCAGTTTGCTATGCCCCACACTGGTCCCACAACAGCCACTTCCACTCAAATTACAGATTCCACTCAATTCAACTGAAGTGGGAATTATATTCCCCAAAATTTAACCAGAAACATGGAACAAATGAAATGAAGGGAGTATTTTTAAGAGCCTCAGAGAGCCATTCTAACCCCCAGCCAGGTAAAAGCTTCCCAGGTTTTAGTTAAATGTGCTAAGCAAGTCTCCGGCTCTTCCATCATGACACCAGCCATGAGGAAGGGTCACCCCAAAGCTACAGAGCACAAAACCTCAAGGCAGCAAATGCAAGAGTGTACCCCAACTGCTCACAGCAAACCCAGCTGACCCCACGGGCGGCACTGAGGTGGCTAGCCAGATCCAGGCAGAGAACAGAGGGCAGCAATGGCCTGATGCTGGTGGACAGGCCGCACCGTGGGGACCTGGGCCCTCAGGACCGCTCATGTGAGCTGGGTGTGACCTGGGGACTCTCACGCCGATTGTTTCTGTTCTCCTGAGCCCTGCACTGGGACCACACTCTCCCAAAGCTTGCTGGTTCCTGTGGTCCCCGCCTGACCACCTGGCCCACTGACCTTCTCAGCCATGGCATCCATGTAGTCCTGCCGCTGGTACTCTCTGCGGCGCAGGTGCCTATACACGTGGAACTCTCCGCTGCCGGCTCCAGCACTGGAACCTACAGCCAGAACAGAGCAGCACAGGATGCCCTGAACCCAAAGGCAGACCAGCACGACACTGCGACTGGTGGGACTGTGTCTGCCTTCCCCCTCAGCCTGGCGTGCCAGCCCTGGTGCCCACCCTATTGCGGGCGGGAAGGCTGAGTGGACAGCTGCTGTGGGAACCTGGGAGTGCCGGGTCTGTCTGAAAGCACACCCTGGGCAGTCTCCACCTCCAGGATGAGGCTGGAGTGGTCACAGGTGCCATCGGTCAGAGGGGCATGGCCTGTCAACTCAGGTCCCCCTCAGGGGGCCAGGGGAATGTAGGACCTCCATGTGCACTTCCAGGGGCACCGCCACAGCCCCAGAAGGCAGCACAGTCCGCTCACTGTGGCACCTGTGTTTAAACCACTGTTACAGGCAACAGCGATTCTTGGGGTTCAGGTGCAGCAGGGGCATGCTGTGGCTCCCGGGTCAGAAGCCCTGTACCCCAGCCCAGGACCTTCCCCCTGCCCCGGGGCACCCTCAGACAGCAACCCCACCCAGCTACAGAGCTGCCCATCACAGAAGGGGCTGTGGCGGGTCTGTCCTAACTGAATTCTCCTTCACCCAGGACGACACTGCACATTGGGATGTAACTCATCAGACACTTCACAAGTGGGCTTGGTGGGTCCACATTTCTACTAGTCTCTGCGTTTACCTCTTTGACAATGACCATGTCTTGATTTGTCACGCAAGGAGAATAGGCAGTATAAAGGATTCCCCATTAGGGAAAAACAGCCACCCACCATTAACAATAACTGGGGGGGGTGGGCAGGCACTCAACAGGCTAACCCTCCACCTCCAGCAACCACACCCTTCTTACATATCAAAAGGGTAAACATTTTTTCCCCCTTAGCCTACCTAACAAATTATTGAATGTAACTCTTATTATCTCTAAGAGCTTTTATGTACACACACACACACACACACACACACGGACATTACCCATCACGTCTCGGACAAATTCCGGGGGTGGCCGCGGCGCCCACTCGCTCATCTTTTCCGGAATTGGCACAGCTTTGTCCTGCGACCCGGTGGGGGTGGGGGGACAGAAGAGCAGTGGTGAGGGGTCACCCTGTGCACCCAGGGGGGCGTCTATAATGACCAAGCACCAAGCCAGCAGCGTGCGGGCAGGTGGACTACGAGCCCACGTGGGGTGCCAGTGTCGTCCCCCTCTGTCAGGGGTTCCCACGCCCCCCGGCTCCCGGGGGTCTCCGCGTCCTCCTCCCCAGCTCCCAGGGGTCCCCACGTCCCACCGGCTCCCAGGGGTCCCCACGTCCCCCCAGTCCCCGGGGGCCCCTCCACGGCTCCCCAGGGTCGCCCCGAGAGCTCGGGCGCCGATTCCCGACACTGCCCGCCGCAGCGGAGTGGGGCGGGAGACGGCGGGCGCCCCTCGTCTTACCGGGTTCTTCATGAGTCGCTCCAGCTTGAGCTTCTGCTCCTCCGCCGCGTTCTTAGGGATGACCAGCGTCTGGGGCTCTTTCTTGGGCCTCGGCGGGCGCACGGAGGACGCGGCCGAGCTCGCCATGACGCCGCTTCCCTCGCAGTCCTCAGCCGGAGGAACGCTAAGGCGACGGCGCGCGCCGGTGACGACACAGCGGCGCGCCCGCCACGCAGGCGCAGTCTCCAAGCGGAGAGTGGGGCGGGGAGCAGGGGGCGTGGCCGAGAACCGGAAGCGGGGCTCGGGCCTGTCCATCATCGCTTCCCTGGTCCTGGATCCGCGGGGTCAGCTGCCGGCTTGCAGACTGACCTGAACCTGTCCTCAGCAACGCGTCCACCTGGAGTCAGCATAGTGGTTGGTTCAATAGGATAATCATTCATCTGCAAGCGCCAGCATCCCACAGGGTCGGCTGGTTCGAGTCCAGGTTGCTCCACTTCCTGTCCACTTCCCTGTTAGTGGCCTGGGAAGGCAATGGAAGATAGCCCAAGTCCTTGGGCTCCTGCACTACCTGGGAGACCTAGAAGAAGCTCTTGGCTCCTGACTTCTTTTTTCCTGTCTCTCCTTCTCTCTGTAAACTTGACTTTCAAATAAAAATAAGTCAAAACGTCTTGTTAAGGGGTCACTGTCACTTCCTGCCATCATTGACTCCAGAATAAAATTACACTTACATGAATCCTGCCCTCCTCACCGCCCCCTCATCCTGGCCAGCAGAGGTTTTTGTTCTGCTCGCTGTGGCATCCCCGGGTCTGGCCAAGGCCGGCCCGACTCAGGCTTCATCACGGCCTTCAGGGAGGACGTGGGGGTTCTTGGCGTCGGACACGTCAGCGGCTGCTGCCAATGGCTGGACTGGAGTCACAGCATCTCCAGGGCCCTATGCAGCGGTGATCCCAATGGGTCTGAGGACCCAGCAAGAGTCCCAGCAGCTATCCCCAACCTGGTGCACAGCAGGTGCGGTTACAGGTGTGATGGCCCAGAGGCAGATGGGTGAAGGAATAAAGTTCAGTGAGTGTGCGGCGGGATGAATGAGCGATATGTGAATGGAGATGAGAGGCAGCGGATTCGCTGAGTGTTACAGAGCCAGGAGGGCGGAGGTGGGAGGTAGCTCAGGGCCTGGCACTGAGCTGGGCTTGGCCCGTGGCCACTGCATGCCAGTGAAGGGAACAGAGGAAGGAATGAGGGCCCGGAGGCAGGGAAACCTCAGTGATCCCGATGCTCTCAGCATCCTGGGCCAGGGCAACGAGAGATCCCGCCCAGCGTCCTGCAGACCCTGAGCCAGTGGGGTGGCACTCACAGGTGGGGCGCACCAGGCTGCCAGCAGGGCCTCGAGTGGGCAGTTCACGCAGCACCTGCCCCTTGGCTTGAAGAGGTGGGTGTCTCAGCAACCCACGCCCACGTGCCTCCCTGCCTGCCACCAGGGGGCAGTAAAGCCCCACCTTTGGCACGCTGGGTTCAGGAAAGCACCTTTTTTTTTTTTTTTGGTAGATGTGTTTATTTGAAAGAGAAAAAGAAGGCAAGACAGAAAGAGAATATCTTCCATCTGCAGATTCACTCCCCACATGGCAGCAAATACCATCCTGGAACTCCATCCTGGTCTGCTATGCGGGTGCAGGGGGCCCAAGCACTTGGGCCATCTTCTGCTGACTTCCCAGACACATTAGCAAGGAACTGGATGGGAAAAGAAGCATCCAGGACTGGAACCAGCACTCAAGTGGGATGCTGGCACCACAGGCAACAGTTTAACCCACGGTACCACACACCAGCCCCTTATTCAAGCAGCTTCAGTTCCTGGAGATAACATTGTTACACACACGGACACTCTTGGAGTGTCCCTTGGCAGCTGGCCTGCCTGGGGCGAAGTGACGGCTGGGGGCACAGTGGGCAGGACACTTAGCATGAGGGGGACCAGCCAATCCAGGACTGAGGGCTTTCCCAAGATATGGGCCTTGTAGTGTTAAAACCAGGAGTGTCCCAAGTGAGCTGAGGCAGCCAGTTCCCCCAGAGAGGTGGGCAGGTCTCCCTCCACCCTCTAAATTGTGGTTGACACATAAAATACTGGGGGTTTTGTTGTGTTTTTTTTTTTTCTTACAGATTTTTTTTATTGTAAAGTCAGGTATATAGAGAAGAGGAGAGACAGAGAGGAAAATTTTCTGTCTGTTGATTCACTCCTCAAGCAGCCACAACGGCTGGAACTGTGCTGATCTGAAGCCAGGAGCCGAGAGTACAGAGCCTCTTCTGAGTCTCCCACACAGGTTCAGGTTTCCAAGGCTTTGGGCCATGTTCGACTGCTTTCCCAGGCCACAAGCAGGGAGCTGGATGGGAAGTAGGGCCACCGGGATTAGAACCGGCGCCCATATGGAATCCTGGGCATGCAAGGCTACCATACCTGGCCCATAAAGTACTGTTGCTACGGATGTTCCATAACCCCAGGTTTTTCACACTGAACTAGGGGGGCAGATCTCTCCTTGACATTTCTGCTGCTGATGACCAGAGCACACAAGCAAGCGTGAACATGCCCACTGTAGGAGAGACTAAGGCTTTCGTACAATCATGCAGAGCCTGGCACTGAGGCACAGCAAGCTACGACCTGCAGTCCCATAAGAACTGCACTTCTGGGCCCGGCGTGATAGCGTAGCAGTTAAAGTCCTCGCCCTGAATATGCCAGGATCCCATATAGGCGCCGGTTCTAATCCCGGCAGCTCCACTTTCCATCCAGCTCCCTGCTTGTGGCCTGGGAAAGCAGTCGAGGAAGGCCCAAGGCCTTGGGACCCTGTGCCAGCGTGGGAGACCCGGAAGAGGCTCCTGGGTTTGGATCGGCTCAGCTATAGCTGTTGTGGCTGCTTGGGGAGTGAACCATGGAAGATCTTCCCCTTTGTCTTTCCTCTCTGTGCTGGCTGGACCCCTGCACCAACATGGGATACCCAGATAAAACTCCTGGGACCTGGCTTCACCTGAGTCCAGCCATGGCCATTGTGACTGTCCGGGGCATTAAGTAATGGATGGAAGATCCCTTTGTCAGTCTCTGTATCCTTTTTAAATACTTAATCTTTTTGTAAAGATTTTAGTTTTTTTTTTTTTTTATTGCAAAGTTAGATATACAGAGAAGAGGAGAGACACAGAGGAGGATCTTCTGTCCAATGAGTCATGTGACTGCAAGGCTGGAGCTGTGCTGATCTGAAGCCAGGAGCCAGGAATATCCTCTAGGTCTCCCATGTGGGTGCAGGGTCCCAAGGCTTTGGGCCGTCCTCGACTGCTTTCCCAGGCCACAGGCAGGGAGTTGGATGGGAAGTGGAGCAGGCAGGACACAAACTGGTGTCCATATGGGGTCCTGGCACATGCAAGGCAAAGACTTTAGCCACTAGGCTACTGTACTGGGCCTGCTCTGTGATGTTTTAAACGATGACATAATCCACTCCTACAGAATATATACGGAGCACAAAAATAAGGTATAAAGAAAAATCAGGGTTGGTGACAGGTCTAGCAGTTAGATTTCCACGTTCTATGTCAGAGCACCTGGATTTAGTCCTGGCCGCAGCTTCCTGCTCTCTGTACCCTGAGAGGCAGCGGGTTAGGGGTCAGACAGCTGTCCTGCCTGCACGTGGGAGAGACCTGCGCTGTGATCCCAGCTCCCAACTCCAACCCCAGCCCAGCCCTGACATTGCAGGCGTTGGAAGAAATTATGAATGGGAGGGGAGGTCTGTCTGTTGCTGTCGCTAACAATAGCAAAAGAAAGTGCACACTCATACTCACATGCCCACTTGGGGAAAAAGTTTATTACTGGTAACCTCTACACGGCTTCTCCAGCCTACACCTGCCCTGTCCATCCCTGCCCCAGGAAATGACACTAAATTTCACATTTGTCAAGTTCTCTTTTTTGGTTTTACTCCATATACCTACAGCCCTGACTTAGTTCATTATTTAATTGTGAGTGACTGAACTTCGCGGAGCAATACAGACACCTTTCCGGCTTTGCCACTGCCTGTTCTCTCCTTGTTCCCCATTTCCTGCGAGAGACTTACCCGGGACGTGGCAACTGCTGGGGTCCGCTGCTCTCCCTTGCTGTATCCATCACGTGACTGCGCCTCAGTCAGCTGACACCAGGGCTCCCCATTTCCACATTTTCGCAATGGAAACTGCATGTCTATGCACATTCTTTCGGAAGCTTTCTGGACATACTGCAAGTTTACTGAGGGTCACACTTTGGGGTGGAATTTCCGGGTCAAAGTTATGCATCTCTTCAATATTATTGTGTAATGCCAGATTTTTTTTTTTTTTTCCCCAACGGAAGATTCCCATTTCTATCTCCTGAGCTTCTAGCTCTGGTTGAGTCACTCTGGCCACACACGATGTGGAAAGCTTTCATTTTTTGTAAGACTGTAACTCATTTGTGTTGTATGTGTCAACGTACAAGAGTTGCCATTTCACCCGTGTTTTTAAGCACACATCAACCTGGTATTAATTATACTCATGATTACTTCCACTCACTGTCACCATGTCTATTTCCAAGGTTTCTCTTGTCCCGGTTAGAAATTCTGGGGTCTTAAAGCAGTATCTGCCACTCCCCTTCCCTCTGCCCTGGTGGTCTTTAGCTATTTACTGTCTCCAGAGGTTTGATGTCATCTTTTAGACCACCAGAGCACTCAGGTTTTTTTTTTTTAAAGGAATTGCACCTATTTTATACATTTTAAAATATTTAATTTTTTTTATTAGGCAGATTTAAAGATAGGAGAGACAAAGAGAAAGATCTTCCACCTGCTGGTTCACTCCCAAGTGGCTACCATGGCTGCAGCTGAGCTGATTCCTGAAGCAAGGAGCTTCTTCTGGATCTCCCACGTGGGTGCAGGGTTCAAAGGCTTTGGGCCATCCTCGACTGCTATCCCAGGCTACAAGCCTGGAGCTGGATGGGAAGCAGGCTGCCGGGATTAGAACCGGTGCCCATATAGGATCCCAGCGTGTGCAAGGCAAGGACTTTAGCCACCAGACTACTGTACTGGGTCCTCCTCTCACTTCTAAAATCTAGGTCTCTGGGACTGGCATTATGGCACAAAGGGTTAAGCTGCTGCCTGTAACACCAACATCCCATATCAAAGCATCAGTTCAAGTCCCACCTGCTCCAGTTGTGACCCAGCTCTCTGCTGATACATCTGGGCCAAATGCCTCTCACCTGGGAGACCCAGATGAAGCTCCTGGCTCCTGGCTCAGGTCTGGCTAGGACCTGGCTATTGTGGCCATTTGGGGAGTGAACCAGGAGGTGGAAGATCTCTTGTCTCTCCCTCTCCATGTAATTGCCTTTCAAATAAATAAAAACAAATCGGGCCCGGCGCGGTGGCAAAAGTGGTTAAGGTCCTCGCCTTGCACACTCAGGATCCCATATGGGCGCCGGTTCTTATCCCAGCAGCCAGGCTTCCCTTCCAGCTCCCTGCCTGTGGCCCGGGAAGGCAGTCGAGGACGGCCCAAAGCTTTGGGACCCTGCACCTGTGTGGGAGACCCGGAAGAGGCTCCTGGCTTCGGATCGGCATAGCATCAGCTGTTGCGCTCACTTGGGGAGTGAATCATCGGATGGAAGATCTTCCTCTCTGTCTCTCCGCCTTTCCAATAATAAAAATAAAAAAAATAAATCTTTTAAAAAAATAAAAACAAATCTTTATTTTAAAAAATAGAATTGGGAGATGAGCCAATGTTGCAAGTTATGAGACCAGGGACCAGCCCGGTTGATTTCTCATCACACCAACACCCTTTTCCTGAAACATCCGATTTCAAAGTCTTGCCACATCCCTCCCCTCATTAGAGCAGACTGCTTGCCTCAGATCTGGGAAGGGTTCATGGCTAAAACGCAGCAAGGTCACAAACTCGGCCAGGAAGAAAAACGGCACCTGCCACCATTAACCTGTAACCGGAAATCACGTTTCTTGCATTCCGGAAGCAGCCGCAGCCTGAGCCGCATCTGTCAAACTTCGCCAGGGACGGGATCAGAGATCTCCCTGGCACATCGTGGGTGGGGTGGAACTCAGAATCTCATTTACACTCATCATCCTTGGCAATTACAGGCTGCGCGTTCTGTCGTTAGAGCTTGCTATTTACAGCGTTATCGGGAATCGTGCACATTACTGCGTCTCGGATGTAAAAAAATATTTTGATTGCTTTTTTATTATATTTAATATTTTGACTGGATCTCAAGATAATTTCCTATGCAAGTCTGCAGCCTGGATGGCACACATTTTAAACGTCATTATGGGGTGGGCATTTCAGCCCTGGCAGGGGAGCTGCATCAGAGAAACTGGGACCCTCACTTCGCAGCTGGGGAGGGGCTGGCATTAAAAAAAAAAAAGCAAAACAACAACAAAAACCCACCAGCTGGCAATGTGAGCCAGATGTATCCTGTTTAAGGATCTTTGGAGCAAATGAAATTCGGAGTCCAACTTGGCATGCGTGCCTTGCCTCGATGTCCCGTAGCATTTGCCTTGTGAGAGATGACTACTTCTGTCCCGCCCCCTCAAAACTCACCAGCTGTTCCTGGAATTATGCCCGCCCCCTAGGTCCGTTTCCAAGGGAAGATCAGGGTCCCTCATCCAAGGGGCAGGCTTAAGTGTGCTCCGCCCCCCCATACCTGGGTTCTCACCGGTCGTTTCTGTGGCAGGTGAAGACCCTCCTTCCCCGGGCAGGAAGGCAGGGGGCTTCCCAGGCTGGATGAGCCCACCCCGACATGTGCTCCCCTGCGGGACGCCCTTGACTTGCCCACGGGGCCCTCTGAGGCCAGGGCAGGCTTGGTCAAGCTCTCTCCAGCAGCTGGGAATGCCTTCGAGTGTCTGTGGGTTTCACAGCTGAGTGATTCTTGGCGTGGCGCAGGGACGCAAGGTTTACGCAGCGGTTACTCTGCGTCAGGAGCGGAGCGTCGCTGAGAGATGACCTCAAGGCCACGGGCAAGGGGTGGGGCTGGCCGTGAGCTGACCAGGGTCTGGGTGTCCTCGGGCTCTCGGCCTTGGAGCCCTCTCCATAGCCACAGCCCCATGGCAGTAGCCTAATACTGGCTGGGCTGACAAGAGGGCCGCAGCCCCTAGAAGCCCCGTGCTCCTGGACCCAGCCGTTGGCTGCCGTGCTCACCCTCCGGGGCAGCAGTTCCTGTGGGCCCCTCTCTCCACCTATCAGCTATTTCTCTCCTCCTCCGCTGCCCTGGTCCAGCCCCTGGTCTCTCCTACTGATTCCATCCTCCCTGGCCCTGTACCCACCCTTCTCCTTCCACAGGTGTGGTCTAGTTCAGAGCAGGTACTTGAAATGAAGCTGATACCACCACCCGGCTCTCCCTTAGGCCCTGCCGCGCTCCTGCTTCTTTTGGAACCTCCACTTTAGTGACAGTGAGGCAGCTGCACTTCCAAAGGAGGGCCTGGTGGTCATGGTCACAGGTCCTGCCATGTTTTCTCGGACCAGGACATGCTCTCTGACCATGAACTCCTCTTGGGGTGGCAGCAGGAGGCACTGCCCAGTCCCCTCCGTGCAGCCAGAGCAGCCAACCCTGGGACCACACAAGGGTGCTGGCACTCTTCCGGGCAAGGGGCCCTGTGGGTGCCTTGGGTCATTCTCAGAAGTGGCACTAGGGGATGAGGGACGCTGCTAGGAGACTGCAAGAGGAGCCTGCATCTGGGTTGGACAACACAGCCCTCTCACGACCCAGTCCCCCAGGCGCTAACACAGAAATCCTGCTGGGCCACGCAATGGGTGCTGCCAGGCCCCACAGCATCCAGGAAAGGACTACAGGAGGGCTGGGTGCAGTCCCTAAAACAGGCTCTTTAATAATATTTATGTCTTCACTGAAGAGTTTGGCTTGTCCCACCTGGCGTGGGGGTGGGTATAGCAACCGCTGGCACTAGTAGAATGAGTACTGGTTCTCCACGGCGCGCGCGCGGCCCGGTGCAGGCTCCGTAGGCTCCTCGGTGCCACCCACAGCTTCCAGCAGGTGCTCGGCGCTGTTGCTGCGGCTGCGAGCACCCAGCGGGCCTTCTGCCGAGCGTGGTACTGCCGGCCCCGACGTGGCTGAAGATGAGGACGCAGATGATGAGGTGGTACCACTGCCGCCACCGGGCACGTCGGCTGGTGAGGCGGCCGGGCAGGTGGCAGCAGCGGTGGCCAGGTTGGAGAAGTAGTGCGGGCCACCTGGCTCAGCCCAGCAGGTTGGTGGAGGTGCGGGGGCAGCGCTGGGCGAGGGCCCCGGTTCTGCAAAGGGAGGCAGCGGTGAGGGGAGCAGGTGCATGAGCCTCAGTGTCCAGCCCCGGGCACCTGCACCCTTGCTAAACCGCCCTCAGGCCACCTGAGTCAAGGGGCAGTGCGCCCCCTGTGTCAAGCAGCCCCATTTTGGAGCTGGGTCCCTGCGCACGCAGAAGGGCTGAGCGGGTGCCACTGTAGTTCTGGCCCTGGCTACCCCCGGGACTCCCAAGCAAAGAAAGGCTTACTACCGGTTGACCCACTAGCCTAGGCAGGGGGGCGTCTTACCAGGCGGCGGACCCTGGGCCCGCACATAGCTGCGCAAGGTGATGTCCGCCGAGCCGCCAGACTCCAGCGGGATGGGGTGGGTGTGGAAGTGGCGGAGCATGTGCAGCACGGACTGGAACCACAGGTGTTGCACGTGGCACTGGCCGTGGCCATTCAGGGACAGGCGCAGGTGCTGTGAGCACAGGTGGGCGTGGTCAGTGGCTTGGAAGGGGACGGGGCCTGGGCTGGATCCCACACCAAGTCCGCCTGTGGTGGTTACCCAGAACCAGGCCTTCTCACTGACTGCTGGTCCCAGCCTCAGGAGTGATTTCCCCAGGGGTCTGCCCTGCATCCCCCGCCCCTGCGACCTGTGGAGCCGGGGTGAGGGGGTGGAGGTGGAGAGCTGACTAAGGCTGGCTGCATGCCCCCTCACCAATGCTGCCATGGGGATGCCTGGTTCCTCACAGGGCAGCACCTCGGGGTGAGCAGCTACTAGCCTGTGGTTGCTTGTGGGGAGCCATGGGGTGTGTCTTCTGCTCCCTACGCATCCCACAGGAGGAAGAGTGGCCAGCCTTGGTGGGAGACATAATAGGAGGGGAGGTGACAGTGGAGGCCCTAAGTCCAGGGTGCGGGCTGGTCTAGTACCCAAATTAACAGGAACTCCCACACCATGGGGGGGGGGGGTCCAGAGATAGGCTCTGTTACCCAGCAGGGCAGGGGAGAGGACCGGGTGCTAGCTAACTTGGAGGGACACTGTGGTGCTTGAGGACAAGAAGTGCTGCAGAGCGGGGACCCACCATGGCCTCATCTCTGGGTAGGGTTTTTGGGGGTCCGAGACGCAGGGCAGAGCTGGGCTCCAGGATGGGTAGGAGGAATGGAGGGAGGTAAAGCAGGTGCCAGGACACCCGAAGGTGGAAATGGCTACTGCTGGGGAGGGCGTGGCCTTCCATCCCTGTTCCAGGGGGCTCCTAGGGTACTACCTAATGTAGATTTTGGGGGGAACCCGGGGCAGTTACCCTGCAGCCAGGATGAGAGGTGGGGGCAGGCCAGGCTGGGGCTGGGAAGGAGAGGGGCTATCTCCTGCCAAGCCCCCTGCCATGCCATGCCATGCCCCATGGTGGCCTAGGTACCACCCTGAACCTCTGGGTCAGATCCAGATCCTCCAGGGGGGCCACTCGGGGCAGTGCAGAACAAAAAGATAAAAGCGAGCCCTCCCCCGCCCCCCCAGAGAGGACACTGAGGGTCCTGCAACTGAACCCTGGAGTGCTCCTTCCTCCAATAGGAGCTCAGGTTGCCTTCTGTGTTCTGGGTCTCCTTTCCCTGGCCCTTGTCTGGGCCTGCAGCAGGGACCTGGGAGGGGTTGGTGAGCTGTCCTGAGCAGAGGTGAGAGGGGCTATGTGGAGGGGGCTATGGCTCAGGCTAGGGCAGGTGGTCAGCCACAGGGGGCCTTGGGTGACCCTTAGCTCCAACATCCAGGGGGCCTTGAGTGGGGACCTTCACAAGCACCCCAACACTCAGAGGCCCCAAGGACTTGCCAGCTCAGGTTCTCAGAAGGACCTGGCTCAGGGGAGGCAAGGCTATACCTACATCCAGGAGAAGGGCCCCTCCCATGCTCTTCCTCATCACAACACACCCACTTACCTTGGCCTTGCCCTGGAAGTTGAAAGTCAGCACGTATTCCCCAGGCCGAGTCTCACTCTGGCGGATCACAAAGAGGCCATGGCTCCGGGGCCCGCCTGCCAGCACCAGCTGGGCGGCCTTGACCCGGGACAGTGTCCCGTGGAACCAGGGGTAGTCGCAGAGTTCCAATTGGGGCTCTGCCTCAGGGTCCGGCTCCGCCCCCTCCTCGCCAGCTGGGGGAGCGGGGTGGGGGGGGATGAAGGACAATGGTGAGGGGCGTGGGAGGAGTGGGCAGGGGACAGAAGAGGCGGAGACACAGACGTCCACAAAGAAAGAAAAGCCGAGTGCCATTGGGATACTTTTACAACGAGGCAGGGAGCTGACCCAGTGCACTAGTTGAGCACATAAATAAACTTGGCAGGGAGCATGGGGGCTGGGGGAGGGGCAGGGATCCCCAGCTGCAGCCCCTGGCACCTGCGTGGTTGCTGTCACTGCCGCCCGGAAGCTCCAGGGTCTGTAGGAAGGTTTCCAGCGGGACGTGGCTCAGAGACTCCCCAGGGCCATCCCGGGCTCGGCTGTGTGGGGCTGTCACCACGGCACCAGCGTTGGCCACTGTCTCCAGGGGCCGGGGCAAGTCAGCTGCTGGGGAAGCGGCAGCGTGAGACACACATTCATCGTTTGATCTGTGCCATGCTGTCCTCCCTCAGTGTTCCCAGTTGGTGCCCACCTACCCTCTGTGAGGAGCTCACAGCTGCAAGAGGCCATGCGACTGGCTAGGCAGCTGCCGCGGGCACAGGCCAGTTCAGCGTCGTCCTCACTGTCCCTGTGGAGGCCAGAAGGCACAGGCTTGTCCTCTGCAGCCAACACCCACCCCCTTCACATGGCTCTGTGGCCATCATGGCAGCGGCCAGGCCAGGTGCAGGGGTCCTCCAAAGTGGGGACAGCGCCCCCGACGGCTGCACAACCCTTCCCTGCTGACCCCAGAGCTGAGGGTCCCTCTAAGCAGGGGAGGGGTCTGAGCAGCTCCAGTGGTCCCTGCCCAGAGCTTTATGTCCCCATCTGTGACGTGAGAGGCATTTGGGATCCTGCCAGCAACCAGAATGGCACAGATAGCAAGGTTCAGGTTCCCAGGGGTCAAGGAGACGGTGTGTGAGAGCAGGTGGCCGGGGGAGGGGGCATGCCTCCTTAACTGGAGCTGTTAATTAGGAAGCAGCGGTCCCTCCCCTGGGGCTCCAGCTCACCCCATTAAGCCAGAAGAGCAGCTGCTAGGCACTCAGCTGCCGGCCTTCCAGTGCACAGCTGATCACGACCGCCCTCTGCCTTTAACCGGCCATGCTCCCGGCTGTCCTCTGAGCTCCCATCAGACTCCGCCTCCGCCAACCACTCTGGAAGCCCTGCCTCCGACCATGGCCTGGCTCAGGCCCTTTCTTGATTTAGGCCTTGCCAGGGGCAAGACTCCTCTTCCAGCAAGGCTACTGGCCAAAGTCCCCCACCTCCTTTACAGCCCATTTTCAGTGGTCTGAGTTTCCCTAGGGGGTGAGGATAGGGGAACAGGTGACCCCAGCCCCATCCTGCCCTGCCTTGGAGGGTGTTTCCTGGGAAGCTGGTCTCAGGACCACCCCCACCCCCCAGCCAGTGCCCACCACCCAAATGCTAAGGCCACCGGAGCACTCACACAGGGTCTACACAGCCTTGGATGTCAGCCACCCACGAGTGCTTCTGCAGGGAGTCAATGGTTTCCAGGATGTACTCGGCTCCGTTCTCCACCTGGGGAGGGGGTGGCCAAGCCATGGCCATGACCATTGTCAGCCTCCAAGTTGCCACTCCTCTTTCCTGCCAGCAGGGGGCTCCCCACCTCCACCAGCTCCCAGGTAGTGCCATCACCAGCAGGTGCCACCTCAAAACCCAGGCTGGGGGGGATCCCTGGGGGTGCAACCCACACTCTCCGAAGCCCCTCCCTTTTGGTTCAGTCCCACCCACTGGAACTCAGACCCTGGACACGCAGCCTCTTTAGAGGCCAAAGCAGGGTCACGATCCAGGCCTAGGGCCTTTAAGGCATGCCAGACCAGCACTGAAGGGAGGGACCCCCCCTCCTGCCTTGGTGCCTGGAGCCCTGGCCTGTGGCCACTCCCTGGGGGGTGAGGTGTCCCTAGGGGAGGCGGCTGGGGCCAGGTCCTCGAGTTACCTCCTGCAGTGCCCTGGGAGGGAGGCCATTTCTTGTCTCCCATGATACAGAGAAGACTGAGGTTTGGAGAGACCAGGCCACTTGCAAGTGATTGGCAGTGGACCTGAGCCCAGGTCTTCTGGGCGCCTGTACCTGCAGCCTGCCTGGAGGGGCAGCCATCTTGCCTGGCTGTTAAGGCGCCCCTTTGGATACCCGAGTCCCACATCCGAGGGCCTGCCTCTGACTCCTGACTCCAGCTCCCAGCTCTAGTTTCCTGCTAATTCCCCAGGAGGCAGTGCTGATGGTTCAAGCAGTTGACTTGCTGACACCTGTCCTCAGGGGACTGGATGGAGTTCGCAGCCCTCAGCTTCAGACCCAGCCCAGAGTTGGCTGCTAGAGGTTTCTGAGGCGTGAGCCACAGTGTGGGAAATCTCTCCTTCTCTCTCAAGTAAACACATTAAAAAAGCATATACCTAGATTTAAGCAGTTGTTAGATTACTAGCAAGTCAGACCTGGGAGGGTTCCCTGAGACCACAGGTGGGGAAACCAGGGCTTCGGGGGGGCGGGTGCTGGCAGGTGAATTCCTGAGCTTGCAAGAAAAAGAACAGAAAGAAGGGGCTGTGTCCCTAGTCCTGAGCCCTGGGGGTGACTTGGTGGCGGCAGGGCTGGAGTTGGTTTCTGTTAACTGAAGGAGCAGGTGCATTTGTGACCAAACACAGGACCAAGCGCAGCAGGCTTCCCTGGGGACTGGGACAGGGTGTGGGTGATCACCGCTGGGTCTCTGCCTGCTACCTGGTGGGCGTGGCTCAGTTTACCTGCCCATGACCTGAGGGCACAGCTTCCAGCCCTGATCTGACACGACTGGAGAATCTAGGAGAACAGATGTGCCTTCTAGCCAATTACAGTGTCTGATGGCTAGGGAGACCGTTGGAAGACGCCCTCCTGCCCTCCCCTTGCCTAGCCTTTATAAGCTTGTGATTTGTGCACAACAAATTGCGCAGATCGTCGCGGTGGTTCTTATGGGTGAAGAACAAGGTTGCCTCGCTCCCTGGTGGCTTTGGGGCCTGCTGGCAGGAATAAACCCCGAGAAGGCAGAAATACCCTCTGACCCTTCCAGGAGGCACAGGCACGGGCAGTGGCTCCTGCAGCCCCAGCAGGGACGGGGGAGAACCTGGGAAAGGGGCGGATCTGCACCCACCCTTAGTGCCTTTGTGCATCCTGGGTGGGCCAGGCTGGGTTCTCTCCCCACCCCCACTCCAGTGTGCTGCCCTGGGGACATTTGTATAATCTCTGTCAGCCCTGGGGAGGGAGGGGAGGAAGTGAAACCGTGATGAGCTAGCTGCACCCAGGCCCAGGGGAGGAAATGGGCACCTGGCCAGTTGGCTGGGCACTGATTACATTCAAGCCTTAGTTTCCCTTGAGGTCCTGGGACCACTCCCCACCCTTCCCGCTACCTGCTGCTGGCTCGGGGACCCAGTGCCATGTCCCTTCCACCTAGAGGACCACCCCCTTCCCATACTGAGGATGAGGGAGATGGCTGCGGGCAGCCAGAGTGTGTGTGTGTGTGTGTAGGGGTGGAACGCACCTTGAGCACGAATGTGTTGTCCTTCTCTGGCATCTCCAGGGGCATGGTGGTACGCACCTCCAGGATGGCAGACAGAGGGATACTGACCTTGGGCCTGGATGCCTGGGGAGGCCACAGGAAGGGGCTAGTGAGAGTGTGACACCCCTACCCCCCATTCTCATCTCTCCACCCTTCCTGGCTCCCATGGAAGTCCCATTTCACAGAAAGGGAAGTTGAAGGAGGAGTTGCTGAGCAATGAAGGAACAGCGCCCCTAGTGGAGGATTGACCTCTATGTCCCCCACCATCTGCAGCTTGCACAATTTTGATCTTGACCTGGTTCATCCAAAAAAAATAAAAGTCTTAATTCAGAACACACTTCCAGGAATAAGGCTTTCCAGGTTCCCAGGAGTGGGCCAAAAAAAAAGGGGGGGGAGTGATGGGCATCCCCACAGGCTGTAGGTAGCATCCCCCTCCCCGCTGCCCTTCAGCTCCCACCCCGACCCTGGGGCTGGTCTGGATCTGGGATTCCCCACAGGGTTTGGACTACAGGATAGGGGCTTTCTCCGGAAGATGGGGCAGGCGGGTGGGGATTCCTGGCAGCCCTGGCTGCCCTCCAGCAGGCCTGGGGCTGGACTCGAAGCTGTGATGACCTGGGAGCTTGCAGGAAGCCAGGACACCAGCCAGTGGAGCCAGGGGTCTGGAGCTTTGGACTGAAGAAAAGGTCAGCTACCTGGCTTGGCAATCAGGGACCCCAGGCCCGATCCTGCCACAACTGGCAGTGCCCACTCCGCTGGCTCATGTATCTGGTAACTGCACAAGCACAAGTACCCATCCTGTCCTGTGATTAACACAGTGTGTGTGTTGCGGCGGGGGGGAGCTAGCATTCACCCCATGAAGCTTAGTACTCCAATCTGCAAATGCTGCAGGTTTGCTGGTGGCTTCCCTGTGGCAGGGCACCCCAGGGCTGTTCTGACATCAGACCATGAAGGTATCTGGGTTTAGCAGGGAGGGGACAGGGCAGGGACATTGGGGACAGGGCAGGATCTGAGCAAGCAAGGAGGAAAGGCAGACCCAGCCAGCGGTGTGTGTGTATGGACAGGCCATGGGGGACGCTGGGCTCTCAGTAGTGGATGCATGGGGGCTCCTAATGTGTCCTGTGCCCTCTGGTTTAGGGGGTCCCTCCACATAGCGGCTCCAGTAGGTAACCCAGGAAGAGGCAGGGCCCAGTGCCAGGTGGGTGGGCGCTTGTAAAAGGAACCCCCGTTTATTGCTGCCACAGAGCTGGGGCATAGCTGAATGGCAGAGGCTGAACCTGTGGGGCTTCCTGGGCCTGGGCTCCAGTGTGTGCTATGGCAGCTGGGCGCTGGAACCAGAGCGCTGGGCCGGAAACCTGGGTGTGCTCCACCTGCCACACGGGAAGTACGCCTGAATACCCCCGCAGCATGGAGGGGGGAGCTGGAAGTGGGACCACCAGGCCTCCTCAGGAACCTGGCCCTGTGGGGGGACAGCTGCCATCCCTGCCCCACCTCCTGCCCCCGGCCCGGGGGCTATTTACAGACAAGCAGCTGCTGTTGTCAGTCACCGCTGGAACCAGGAGCCCTGGGCCTCTGCCCTCGCCCTTTCGGTGACCCTGGTAAGCCCTGCCCATCACTAGTCACCCCATGTGACAGGAAGGGGTGCCTAAAGCCCCCCAAGATGGAGTGGAGAAGCTGGGGGTCCTGGGCTTGCCCACAAGGGGCATTCACAGTTGCAGGGGCTCCAGAGATGGGGGAGGAGTGAATGAAGGGGTTTGGGTGGCTCCTAGGCCTGTACCAGCCCTGCCCCACTGGCTGGGGTGCTGGGGTGCCAGCTTGTGTGATGGTGCAGAGCCTACATCCAGTCTCAGGCACCCAACCCTGCCTCCTGGCCCTCCACGGCTGCCACACACCCTTCCCCGGCCCCAGCTAGGAATGCCACTCACCTTGGGTGGCACGAAGAACTCCAGGCGGAAGCGTTCACCCGCCACGGCCCTGCGCAGGAGCAGGCGACATTTCTGCCACTGGGCTGTGCCCCCAGGGCCCGCGGCCGCATCATCGGCCACCATGAAGCGCAGTGCGCCCTCGCGCTGGATGTCCACCAGCTCCACCTTGGCCGCCAGCGTCCGTGACAGCCGCAGGCGCCGTGTCCACTTGTCGCGCGGTTCAGTGGAGGGCTCAGTGGTGCGCGGAGTGGCATCAGGCTCTGGCGACGCACGTCGGTGCCACATGTCACGCACACCGTCCACCACGCACAGGCTCATGTTGCGCAATGAGAAGCCCTTGCGCACGCGGGTCCTGGCCGCCGCGGGCGCCGAGACATCTTCGGAGCTGCGGGAGTGGCCGTGCGTGGCTGCCTTAAGTGCTGGGGTCACCACTGCTGTTGCTGTTGCCGTCGCGGCAGGCTCCATGGCACCACTTGCACCCTCTGCTGCCGCTGCCACCGGCCCAGTCACCAGCACGCGGCGTACCTCCTCACCGAAGACGTCCAGGAAGTTGGCGGCGAAGTGACGGGAGAAAGAGGTGCCAGCGTCGGGCGTGTTGTAGGCCGGGTGCTCGCGCACGAAGCGGCAAAACTTGTGCGCAAAGTCCACAGCAGCCACGTGCGCGTGCAGCTCGCAGAACTCACGCCAGTCTGGGGCGGTGGCGGCCGGGCCGGAGCCGCCACCATTCATGGCTCCCGTCCCATCGCAGCCCCGCGCAGCTGTGGGCGACAAGAGCGCTGGGTCACCGATGTGTCCGAGAGGGACCGCCCTAGCGGCAGGTGCCTGGCACACCAGGCATGTCCACGCCTCCTATCCTGACCCAGCAGGGCCTGAGGATGCACCCAGCCTGTGGGTGACAAGCTGGGCCCAGTACTGTCATCCAGGCCTGGGAGACTCCACGGGAGGGAGGGGGAACTCAGGGGTTCACCTCCAGGTGTTCAAGTAGGATCAGCTTTGGGGACCTCTCAGCAGCCTGCACATTTCCACCTTCTCGAATCCTGCTCCCTCCAAGATTCCAGTCCCAAGCTGGCTTTCTCCAAAGCAGCCCTAGTGCCTGTTTGCAGTCTGCACAGCTCCAGAACACCCAAATATCCTGTGTGTGTGTGTGTGTCTAGCAGCCACTTGGAAACTTTGCCTCCCTTTCCGCCAAGGTGGCTGTCACCCAGCCTGCACAGCACCCCCCTTCCCCTCCATCTAGGCCAGAGTGAAAATGGCCGCAGGAGAGGAAGGAGGAGAGGGGTGATGTGGCCCTCCCCTGGAGAGCCCCATGGAGCAGCTGGGCTGCTCATGCCCTCACCTGCCCTCCCAGGAACCTCCCATTTCCCAGCACGCCCCATCCTCACAGCTCCCCAGACCGCACCACCTCCGATCTCCTCCTGGGGATCCTGACCCTGTAATTAAAAACCAGGTAAAAATAACTGCCCCACTTCCAGGAGACCAGGGTGGGGCCTCTGGGCCAGAGGGCGCCGTAGGGGATTCCCCGTGCCCTGGCCCCGGGGCCCTGCTCTGCACTCAGGGACCAGCGGGCAGCCAGAGCCCGGGCTGGGGGAGGGGCGCTGGCACAGGTGCTGGGCAGGAGGGTGCCAGGGAGCTCTGGAAGATTCCTAGCTAAGGGAGAAGGGGAGGGAGGCTGCACAAGAAGATGATTGGGCATGCAGGCGAGAGTCCCATGGAGGTGGGGGCAGGCTGGCCAGTCTTCTTGCCTTGCTCCTCCACATCCTTGCAGTGCCCAGCTAAGTCCACCTACCACCCTTCAGTATTTTATCCGGGGGTCATTCCCTTGCAGAAAGTCTGCCCTGCTTATAATACACTCTGTTCCCCTAAAACGACCACCAGGCTGGTCCAGGGGTCTGCTCTGAGCATACATGCGTCCCATCCATCCCAGTCGCGAACATGTACTTACTGCAGGCCATGCTGCCACCACCGCCATGGGGAGGCTGAGACCCTGGGTCCTGTGTGTGTGCTGGGGGAGGGGGATAACTGCCTGGGGTGGGGTGGGGGAAGGGGAAGCCTGGTGGGCTGGGTGTGGCTGTCCCTGTGAGAAAATTATGCCCCCTCACGTGACAAACGGGACTCGGGAGACTTTCTTCAGGTCCTACCTGCTGCTTGGGAGAGGCCCAGGGTAAAGTTGGAGGAGCAGGGTCCCTGGATAGTATGCTTGGGGGTGGTTTGCTAAGGTAGCTCTCACGGCCAGAGAGGGGTCAGCTAAGGGTATGGCTGGGTGGGGCTGGAGGCATCGGGAGGAGGTCGGAGCTGATGTCCTGCGCCAAAACCCTGCCTGCCCAGATGAGGCAGGGTGGCAAAACAGAAGGTACGCAGTACTCTTTGTTAGAAATGGAGAGACTGAGCCCTCAAACACAGCCCTGCAGAGGGAGGATGCGGGTACAGGGAAGGTTGGGGGGAACACCCGCACTCTCAGGGGTTCTGGCTGACCCAGGCTCCCAGTACCCCGCCAAGTGAATGACATTAAGCTTCATTCTCCTCACTTCAGAAACAAATGTGGGTGGCCAGCGCTGTGGCATAGTGCATTAAGCCCATACCTGTGACACTGGCATCCCACAGAGGCACAGGTTTGAGTCCTGGGCCAGGCCCCTGCCTTTCTCTTGGAGAAGAAGCCTTAGCTATGGAAGCAGGACGGGAAAGGGTATTTTCCCATCTGCTGCTGGGAGAGCCCAGATGGGAGACAAAGGCAGACCCTGTGGGCTTACCCGCCTCCACGGAACGCCCGGCCATTTCCAGGCTCTGCTAGGCAATCCCCACTCCCCTTGCCACCAAACTGATTTTTTTTTTTTTTTTGGCTTTCTTTTTGTTCCCATCTCGGCTGGGATGGGCTTCTGAGGGGTTGGGCAAGGGGTAGAGGAATCCAGTCATGTTGTGGCTGCTCCTGACCCCTGCCCTCTGCCTGGCCAGTCATGCTGGTTCACCCGTGCCAGTAGCAGGTTAGGGAGGAGGGGGTGGCCAGCTTTCTGGTGGTAAAAATAGCACTGACAATTAGAGAGGGAAAAACAAACAAAACAGTGGGCTCCCAACCCCCACCACTGCCAGCCAGCCCAGTTCCGGACCCCAGGGCCCAGCCTTGCCTTAAAATATTGATGAAGGTGCCCCATCCCCCACTCATGGGCGACCAATCCACGCACATGTGGCAGGCGGGGCCAGGCACAGCCCCACCCACAGCTCCTCTTCTCTCAGTTCCAGCATTCTCTCTGCCGGGTCGAGGCACCCTGGGTTTCACAATTGCTGATCTGGGTGTGGGCTCCCAAGGTGCCCCCATCGCCTGCCACCCCAGCTGAGGTGCCAGGGCCTCAGGCCGGAGAGAGAATGTGGTTAGGCTATTCCTCCCTCAGGGAACCTTCTCACCCAGCTCAGCCCAGCCGCCGAAGTTTGGCTCTGGGTCTGAGAAAGGCAGGTCTAGCATCGCGTAAGCAGCAGGCAGATGGCACTGGGGCCATGTTCTAGATTCAGTCACCCCAAGAGGGACCAATATCCTTGGGGATGGGGGGCTTCCGGGGTCCTGCTTCCTGAAGGGGAGATTCCCCCCAACTCCTGTAATACGGGGGTACTCTGAGAAGCTGGGCGGGGAGACTAGGGGACCCTAGAGTTGGTCCTTGCAGGAAGTGGGAACCCTCTCCCCAACCCCAGGTCCACAAAGCTGAGCGCATTGTCCTTCAGGAGCACTTGCCGCTGGACAGTTCCTGGTTAGTCCTTGCAGGTGGGCAGCAGGCTGGGCTTGCTCCAGCTGCCCAAGGCTAGCTCTCTCCCTGCCTTTCTGGGGTAATTGAGGATTGGCGCACCCCCTTTTCCCTCCCACTTGTTGAGCACCCCACCTGTCTCCCAGGTGGAGCCCAGCAGACTTCCTTCTGATGACTTCCCACTGGGCTTTCCTGGGGCACCCTCCTAGGTTCTGTGGCTGCTATAGATGCTTATGAAGCCTGGCCCATCTCCAGAGACCTCACAGTCACGGCTTTCAAATTTGAGTCCATCCTTGCCCTGTGCTCCCTGCTGGCAGCACCCATTCCTCTGCCTTGGCTATCAGCAGCCCCTCAGCACATGCAAGTGTCAGGAGCGCCACTTGGTGCTGTCCTTGCCCATAATGCTGCTCCCTGCCACAGTGCCACTGCGTCACCTGCACCACACGGGGACACTGGTAGGCCCTCACACCTGCCACCAGGTGGGTTCCGCTCCTTGAAACCAAGCCCCCAAGCCTGCATCACTCCCACGAAGTGGCCATGCATTGCTGCCACCTGCCATGCGCTGTCCCGACAGGTGTGGTCTGTGATCTCAGGAGGATGGCATACCCTGGGTCAGGTCACAGTCATAAAAACCACCCAGCTGGGGCCTGGTGCAGTGGCCTAGTGGCTAAAGTCCTTGGCCTGAATGCGCCGGGATCCCATATGGGCACTGGTTCTAATCACGGCAGCCCTGCTTCCCATCCTGCTCCCTGCTTGTGGCCTGGGAAAGCAGTCAAGAATGACCCAAAGCCTTGGGATCCTGCACCCGTGTGGGAGATCTGGAAGAGCTCCTGGCTCCCAGCTTCAGATCGGCTCAGCACTGGCCATTGCGGTCACTTGGGGAGTGAATCATCGGATGGAAGATCTTCCTCTCTGTCTCTCCTCCTCTCTGTATATCTGACTTTGCAATAAAAATAAATAAATCTTTTTAAAAATCATACAAAAAAACACCCAGCCAGGTAAGAGGGGGAAGAGAAACCTCCCCTGCCCCTCCCCACAGGCACAATGAGAATGGGGGGGTGGGGCTGCAGGTACTTCGTCTGGACCAGAACACACCCCCAGGGGGAGGCAGTGGGCAGGGGACCGGATGCACAGTAACCCTTCATCCCTTGGCGCCCTGCCTGAGAGCAGCGGTTGGGAGGCCTGGCTTACTGGGTGAGCAGCTTTGGGCGAATCATGTCCTCTGCCTGAAGTTGCTGCTTCAGGGATAAGAACAGCGAGGAGGGTGGTCAGTCTCGGCTTAAGTCCTCCTTGTCCCACCCCTGGGGGCCTCCAGGTCGGATACCCGGCTCCATCTCCAGACTCCAGATTCCAGCTAAGACACACGCCAGGAGGCAGCAGCGGTGACGCTAGAGCAGCTGGGACTCCTCCGGCAGCGACTTTGGAGGCCCAGAGGAAGTTGCTGGCTCCCGGCTTTAGCCCCCACCCAGGGTACACCAATAAGGACACTTAGGGAGTGCTCCTGGGTCTCCTCTCTCCGCGCCTAATACGCTAATGAAACAAAAAAACAGGAGCTAACCCACAGGTTACCTGAGGAGGGCGCTGTTGCCCCCAACAGGACCCTGAGCGCTCAAAGCCAAAAGCTTGGGGTCAACTCTGTGCTGTGGAATGCAGGCACCCCCCTATCAGGGCAGAGCTTCCAGTCTGTCTGCTGCTCCCCCTGCCATCCAGCACCCAACCAACAGGCCTGAGGAAGCAATGGACCGCCATTCACTGCCCGGATGCAGCTCCTGGTTCTCGGTTTTGGTCTGGTGTAGACCTGGCTGTTGCAGCCATCTGGTGCGTGAACAACCAGTGGATGGAAAAGTGCTCTCTCTCTCTCTCTCTCTCTTTCGTTGTTTCAAACAAAGAAGTGCATTTTGAAAGAAAGAAGAGAAAAAGGAAAGTAGAAAGGAGGAACCACAATCAGCTGCAGACCCCCCTTGCGACTCCCCAGAGGGAAGCCACCCTGGGCAGCTGCCAGGGTGCACGTTGGGGAGTCCTCCTAGGGGGACTTACACTAAAAACGGGAGGGGCATAGGGCCAGTGCTGTGGCACAGTACGCTAAGCTACTGCCTGGTAACACAAGCATTCCATATGGGCACTGGTTCAAGTCCCAGCTGCTGCAATTAGCAATCCATCTCCCTAATAATGTACCAAGGAAAACAGTGGGGGATGGCCCAAGTGCTGGAGCCCCTGCCGCCCATATGGGGTACCTGGAGGAAGCTTCAGGCTCCTGGCTTCAGCCTGACCCAGCTCCAGCCACTGTATCTATCTGGGGAGTGAACCAACAGATGGAAGCAAGATCTCTCTCTCTTGCTCTCTGCCTTCCCCTCTCTCTGTAACTCTGCCATTCAAATAAAATAATAATAATAAAAAGAGAGCAAGATGTCACGCAGATCATTTACAATAAAAGAAGAAAAGTGTGTGCAGAAACCTTCCACTAGTGAACCATTCAACCCAGGGGTACCAGAAGCCTTGACTTGGGGTGCAGGGTCAGGGGACCTCTGGACCCCGTGGAAGGACAGGGCCCAGAGAACAGCATGGCCGCAGACAGCCTCGGAGACCCCATGAATGCCCCCAACCCCCGCTAGCCTTGCAGGCTGCAGCGAGACGGCCCCAATGTTCCTGGCTGGGGTAAGTCTGGGGTCACTCCTCCAAGCCAGTGGGGTGGATGGGGCAGGAAGGCCAGGAGGGCGGGGAGGTGTCCCTGTTCCTGCTTACTCCCT